TGGGAGACTTCAATACACCACTCTCAACACTAGACAGGACCACAAATCAGAAACTCAACAAAGAAACAAAAGAATTAACAGAAGTTATGTCTCAACTGGGGCTAACAGACATCTATAGAACATTCCATCCAAAGACAAAAGAATATACCTTCTTCTCTGCTCCACATGGAACCTTCTCTAAAATCGACCACATACTAGGAGACATAACAAACCTCAACAGATACAAGAGAATAGAAATAGTCCCCTGTATCTTATCGGACCACCATGCTTTAAAATTGGAATTCAACAACAATACAAATAGCAGAAAACCTGCAAACTCATGGAAACTTAACAATGTGCAATTGCACCACTCCTGGGTCAAAGAAGAAATAAAGAAAGAAATTAAAGACTTTCTAATATTCAACGAGAATGAGGATACAACATACCCGAACTTATGGGACACCTTGAAAGCAGTGCTACGAGGGAAGTTCATTGCACTAAGTGCCCATATGAAGAAAACAGAGGATAGTCACATGAATGAATTAACAGCGCAACTGAAAACCTTAGAACAGAGAGAAGCGAATTCACCCCGCAGGAGCAGACGCCAGGAAATAATCAACTTGAGGGCTGAAATCAACAAAATAGAAACCAGGAAAACAATACAAAAAATCAATGCAACAAAGAGTTGGTTTTTTGAGAAAATCAACAAGATTGATAAACCTTTATCCAAATTAACGAAAAAGCAGAGACAGAACATGCAAATTAACAAAATCAGAAACGAAATGGGGAACATAACAACAGACACAGAGGAAATCCAGACAATTTTCAGGTCATACTCCAAAATCTGTATTCCACAAAAATTGAAAATTCAAAGGAAATGGACAAGTTTCTGGATAACTATCACTTACCAAAATTAAATCAAGAACAGACAAACAACTTAAATAGACCTATAACCCGAAATGAAATAGAAGCAGTCATCGAAAGCCTTCCAACGAAAAAAAGTCCAGGGCCAGATGGATTCAGTGCAGAATTCTACCAGACATTCAAGGAAGAACTAATACCACTACTCCTCAAACTGTTCCACAAGATAGAAACAGAAGGTTTATTGCCAATCTCTTTTTATGAGGCCACAATAACTTTGGTACCCAAACCTCACAAAGACACAACTAAGAAAGAAAACTACAGACCAATATCCCTGATGAACATCGATGCAAAAATACTCAATAAAATAATGGCAAACCGAATTCAAAAATACATCAGAGAAATCATCCACCATGATTAAGTAGGCTTCATACCTGGATTGCAGGGATGGTTTAACATACGAAAATCTATCAACGTGATCCACCATATAAACAAACGGAAAAAGAAAAACCATATGATTATCTCCCTAGATGCAGAAAAAGCCTTCGATAAAATTCAACACCCTTTCATGATAAAGGTATTAGAGAGGTCAGGGATAACAGGAACATACCTAAACATAATAAGAGCAATATACAGCAAACCAACTGCCAACATCAAACTGAATGGAGAGAAACTTAAGCCAATTCCTCTAAAATCAGGAACAAGACAAGGCTGTCCTCTCTCTCCATATCTCTTCAATATCGTACTAGAAGTTCTAGCTAATGCTATAAGACAACAAAAGGAGATCAAGGGCATCCAAATTGAAAAGGAAGAAGTCAAACTGTCTCTATTTGCAGATGACATGATAGTTTACATAAGCGACCCAATAAACTCTACCAGGGAACTCCTACAGCTGATAAACACCTTCAGCAAACTAGCAGGATACAAGATAAACTCAAAAAAATCAGTAGCCCTATTTTTTTCAGACGACAAAGAGGCAGAGAAAGAAATCAGAGAAACATCACCCTTTACAATAGCCACAAGCAACATAAAGTATCTTGGTGTAACGCTTACCAAACAAGTAAAAGATCTATATAATAAGAACTTTGTGACTCTAAAGAAAGAAATTAAAGAAGATACCAGAAAATGGAAAGACCTCCCATGCTCTTGGATAGGTAGGATAAACATAGTAAAAATGGCAATCTTACCAAAAGCAATCTACAGATTCAATGCAATCCCCATTAAAATCCCACCACAATTCTTCACCGACCTTGAAAGGATAATAATCAACTTTATATGGAAAAACAAAAGACCCAGGATAGCCAAAACAACCCTATACAATAAAAGAACAGCAGGAGGCATCACCATTCCTGACTTTAAGCTCTACTACAGAGCTATAGTTCTGAAAACAGCCTGGTATTGGCATAAAAATAGACAGGTAGACCAATGGAATCGAATTGAAAATCCTGATATTAATCCACGCACCTATGAACACCTGATTTTCGACAAAACAGCTAAAATTATACAATGGGGCAAAGACAGCATCTTCAACAAATGGTGCTGGCACAATTGGATGAGGGTGTGTAGAAGACTGCAGATAGACCCATGTCTGTCGCCATGCACAAAACTCAAGTCCAAATGGATCAAAGACCTCAACATCAATCCAGCCACATTGAACCTCTTAGAAGAGAAAGTAGGAGGTACCCTTGAACAAATTGGTATAGGAGACCGCTTCTTGAACATAACTCCAGGGGCATAGACACTGAAAGAAACAATTAATAAATGGGACCTCTTCAAACTTAGAAGCTTCTGTAAGGCAAAGGACACAGTTGACAAGACCAAACGGCAGCCCACTGACTGGGAAAAGATTTTCACTAATCCTATATCCGACAAAGGGCTGATCTCCAAAATATACAAAGAACTCAAGAAACTAGTCAACAAAACACCAAATAACCCTATTAAAAAATGGGGTACAGAACTGAAGAAAGAATTCTCAATGGAGGAAATCAAAAAGGCTGAAAGACACTTAAGAAAATGCTCCACATCCTTAGCTATCAGGGAAATGCAAATCAAAACAACTTTGAGATACCATCTTACCCCTGCCAGAATGGCTAAAATTAGAAACACCAGTGATGACTTATGTTGGAGAGGATGTGGAGAAAGTGGAACACTCCTCCACTGCTGGTGGGAGTGCAAACTCATACAGCCACTTTGGAGGTCAGTATGGCGGTTCCTCAGGAAAATGGGAATTAGTTTACCACAGGACCCGGCAATCCCCCCCTCTTAGGCATATACCCAAAGGATTCACATCAATGCAACAAAGACATCTGTTCAACTATGTTCATAGCAGCACTATTTGTAATAGCAAGAACCTGGAAGCAACCTAGATGCCCTTCAATTGAAGAATGGTTAATGAAGATGTGGCACATCTACACAATGGAATACTACTCTGCAGAAAAAAATAATGGTATCTTGAAATTCGCAGGCAAGTGGATGGCACTTGAAGAAACCATCCTGAATGAGGTAACCGAGTCACAAAAAGAGGAACACAGTATGTACTCACTCATATATGGATTTTAGACCTAGATCAAATGATCACCAGCCTATAATTCACATCACCAGAGGAACTAGGATACAAATTGTATTCTAAGAGATTCATATAAAGTCCCTCACAGAACTGGGAAGGGACAAGTCCCCCAGACCTCAGGTATAGTGGGGGAGGACAGCTAATGGAGAGAGAAGTAGGAGAAAATGAGAGGGAGGAGAGGAAGGCATGTGCGACCAGGAGGATTGAGCCTGGTTAGGAATGGAAAATAGGAAAGAGAGAGAGAGACAGAGACACAGAGAGAGAACATAAAAGAGGGAGCCAATATTGGTTTGAAGATAAAGTTGAACACAAAGAAAGGTCGAGGGAACTACAAGACTGCTCCCAACTAACAATCTCAGCTTCCGTGGAAAGGCTATCATAAATGCCCTTCCCGGAGAGTGAGATCAACAACTAACTTCTCCATGGAGTCCTCAACTAATGCCTGTTGAAAACAGGAGCAAACACCCATACATAAACACTGAGTCAAACTAGAACCCAGAAGCAGATGGAGAGGACAAGACCATGCGGTAGAAGTACATAGGAACACCTTACCTGAACAAAAGGGGGAGAAAAGGGCCAATACTATTAATTGGGAAGCCAAAAAAGAGGGGTCTCCCGCCCCCCCCAATTTGGGTCCAGGCCCAAAGGCCCGAGGAGCCCGAGAGACCTGACAGAGAGGAGGGGGCCTGTGTGCCTGCTGCATAGAAAAAATTACTACTAAAATCCCTTTTACAGGGATGTTCTATTTATTTTAGAGATAGGAGAGGAGCCCTTCTCCTTACCTCTCAGGCTCTTTATCATTTCATCATCTCACCACATTGTCGATATCCTCTATTTTGTTTTGTGGTGGGGGGGGGGGGGTGGGGAGGGTGTATAGAGGGGAGAGGAGGGAGGAGAGAGGGAGGGGGGGAGGGAGGAGGGGGGGGAGGGCTTGGGGGGGAGGGGAGGGAGGGAGGGAGAGGGAACTGGGATCGACATGTAAAATAATAATAAAAAAAAAAAAACGCTTTGACTCCAAAATTTAAGTTGAAGAACAAGTTACTGGGGAAAAGTATTTCTATTTTTGTTTCCACAGAAAATGAAAAGATGTGGATTCCTTCCAGACTAATGTGGTTTGATCACACCAGACCGCCTGAAACAGAGTACAAGCTGATCCTACATTCCAAACAGCTGGACAAAACAGCCCTACAGACTACAGCTAGGATATCTGAATCTTCTTCGAATCCCCCAAGACAGCGCCCCTTACCAGCAGGAAGTAGTTTGGAAAGAACGACGCCCAAATTCCCAAATATTGTGTATAAATGTTTGTTTTCATTTAATTGGACTTTGTTATATAAAATTAAATAAAAAATACTCTATATGCATAAAAAAAAACAAAAACAAAAAAAAAAAAACAAAGAAACAAAGAAACAACAACCACCAAGAGCCTAGAAAAAGTAAGACTATAATCATATAGTCACAAAATAAAATGACAAGATCACAAGAGAAAAAAAATGCCTTTTGAAATTATAGTATGAATCATGCACCCTTTGACATAAAATGACTGTTTTATATAAAGCATATATACTACTATAAAACACTGTGCAATACTTACACCTTCTGCATATTGCAAATATCGTTTATTAGTTTCCTGTTTACCAAATGTCTCCAAAAATTTTTGACGATAAGCAAGAACTGTATCAACATGGGTTTTGTATTTTACAGCCAACTCCAGTGCCCTATAATGAGAAATTACACAAATTATCAATATCACTGTGTCTAAACAACAGAGTTTTGAAATTAGAGGTAGGACAAATGACTGTTCTGCTTACCCTATAGTCTGGAAAGCCATTTTCTGCTTTAACCATCTGTGTATTTTTTTTAAAGCCCGGATGAGACATGACCTTTCTTGCTGACCAGCCACTCTTATATGAATGTAACATATAAATACTGTGTCAATTTTGCATACTATAGGTTAGCACTATTTATGAGGCGTGTATTATAGACTCTACTCTAGCCTATATAGTTTTTGAAGGGAGATTATGTTTTAATTTCCTTTAGTGAGTACTGCAGAGTACATGTATGAAAAATACTCAGCAAAATTTTGGTAAATTACAAAAAGCAAAAACCTAACATCTTGTGAATCTACAATAAACTTATGAAATTAAAAAGTGATATTACTATATCAAATTTTAAATCTTATACAATAAAAATTTAAAATTAAACCACTATGACTAATGCTATTACTATCTGAATCTTGGAAAAGGAATGCTAAGATGGCTAGGTGTCTTAGCCACCAAACCCAATCAATGATGTGAGTTTAATTCATAGGTCAACATGATGGAAAGAATCAACTTCCCCAAGTTGTCTTTTGACCTCCACCTATGCACATGTGTACAAATCAATCAATCAATCAATCAATCAATCAATTGAATGATTAAATTTTTAAAATTTCATGAAAATGTTAGGAAGCCACTGAAATTTTATAACTCAATGTATCTATAAAACTATGCTATTTTAAGGTAAGCCTTTAAATATGAAAATTATTAAAAAACAAAACAAACAAAAAACATTAGCATCACACCAAAGAGTCATGTTTATCCTGATGACAACCTGCAAGGAGGTGAACAGATTATCTCAGCCCAGGCTTCCATGTAAGTTTGACTAGGACCACAGCCTTGTCAAAATCCTGTGTATGATTCATAGGACTTGAGTCAAGAAAAGCCAAGTGGAATATTTGTCTCTATATATTTTTTACTGTCATCTTGATTTAAGGCATGGGTGACAGTCATCAAAGTAGTCAAACATGCATCAATTAACAAGTTCTCATGTTTTCTACTATGCCATGACATGAACAGAACTATGTTTTATGTGATGTAACTGTTATTTATTTTAGATAAAACTGAACATTAATATTTTATAACTTGTGACTCTTCAGTATTAGCCAAATTAAATAATATCTTCCAAAAGAATTTTTGGGGCCAGAAAGATATCTCAGAAAGGAAAGTTACTGGCATGCAAATCTGGTAACTTGTGTTCCATCCTGGGAACCAACACAAAGGTGAAAAGAGAGAACCAATTTCACAAACTGGTTCTCTGACTTCCATGTTTGCACTGTGCCAAATGTATTCTCCCCACATCCATCCATCCATCCACCCATCCATCCATTCATCCACCCACCCACCCACCCACCCACCCATCCATCCATCCTTCCTTCCTTCCACCTATCTCTCTCGATATCTATACCTATATATCCCTGCCACACACTCTAAAGTATTTTGAATAATAGTGTGTTTTGACAGTTGATAATCAATTGAGGGAGCTATCAAAGGCAACAGAAAAACTACAAATGTAACTCAGTAACATCACAAATGGGAATGCCAAAATGAAATATGATTTCTTATAAAACAGATTAACATGTTAACATATGCTATGTATTGCTGTGGTGTTTTGAATTATAATGGCCCTCGTAGGCTCACAGATTTGAATGCTTGGTCACCAGAGACTGGCACTATTGAAAGACTCAGGAGGTGTGTCCCTGCTAAAGTAGGTGTCGCCTTGTTGGAGGAAGTGTGTCACTGCAGCTGGGATTTGATGGTTCACGAGTCCAAGCCAGGCCCAGTGGCCCACTCTTCCTACTGCCCGTGGATCTGGATAAACTCTCAGCTATTTCTCCTGCACCATTTCCGTCTGTGTGCCACCATATTCCCCATCATGATGAAATGGACTAGCCCTCTGAATATGTAAGAAAGACCCTCTCTTTTATAGGAGCTGCTGTCTCTTGACAGCAACAGAACCTTGATTGACATGGGCCCCAAGGATTCTCTTGTTTTTTGCAACTTTTAAGTCTTTTAGAGAAAAATGAGCCAAGAAGATGGGTATTGAAATGAAAAATAAAAGTCAACAAATGAAGTAACAGGAGCTCTAAGATGAGCAATGGTAGTCAAGATGCCCTATTCCTTCTAGCCCTCTATCTACCCAAGCCTCTGATCCTGGTGGGCTGGATGTCAGTGAAGACTCAGATGAATCACACTACTGGCCCCTTACAGTTGGTGATGGGCTGGGACATCTTGCCTGCAAAAGTGAAACTAGGCATACATAGGCAGCCATTCTGTACTGGGGCTTTAAAAAAATTTTTTTTTTAAAAAAAGGAGGTAATTTGGTATGCAAACATCAATACATTCCGTTATGCAGAAAAGACAATGTAATGCCTAATCTTGTATTCAGAGGTTAGGTCCTCAGTATTATCTACACTACTATCATTATTATAATAATAAAACATGCATTAATTATTTGAAGAATAATGGCTAAAAGTAAACATTTACATACATGCTATTTTAAGTATTCTCTAAATGCATACACACTGGGTAAAAATTGTTTCTCTACCATATTTAGGAGGAACTTACTTCAAATTATATAAGGGCTTTGGGAACAGTGTGTCTCTAGTTTTAAAATGGTTTGGCAACCAAACAAATGTGACATTAGATTCTAGGGCTGGAATAAGTCCATGTATTTTAAATAGGAAGAAGTTATATAAAAAGATATGATAACTTCTAAAATATGATCTTTTGCATAACTTGAATGAATCAAAAGTACTTTATATAACTAGTATACAATTAGAAATTATTAACATTTATACACAGGATCAATGTGGCTACCTGGGGCTTTCATTTCGTCCTCTCCTAACTTCAGCTTCTCAGTGAACATTAACACTCAGTGTTCAAAGTAGACACCAAACAGCTAAGCTGCCTACCCACAAGTCTGTAGGATCTGCATTCTACTAGGGTGAAGGCAATCTCCAAATGCTAATACAAAATACAGATACACAACCAGTAAGAACATGAATGAATTAAAACCTAGTCCCTTCTAGATGCTCTCAACAGAGCATCTAGGGACCTCCAAAGTAATCTAATATATCATCCAATGCTTCCTTCTATCATTCAAGAATTAAGAGAACTAGTAGTGACCATTACCACTTGCTAATATCCAAAAACCACAGATGATCCAGACATATAGAAACACACATACTGCATTTAGTCTCCCTCTCCCCACCCCCAATAAACTTAAACCTATAAGGCTCTAGATTCATGACCAATTTGTAGCTAAATCAGGAGACAGTCACCAAAAAGATGTACTCAACAATATCAAGATGACAGGGAATTCTAAAGGTCCAGTTTCTTCAATGAGAAAATTATAAGCAAACACAAAAAACAGAACCTGTCTAAGAATGTATCAACTACTCAGAACATATAGGTATTTTTTGGGGGGGTCTCTATGCAAGCCATAAAACACTAGATAACAGAGAAATAAGAACTATGTATAATACCTGATGTTTTTAAAGTGTGACCATGGTATCATGGCTGCTAAAATCTTTTAGAGATATATGCTTAAATACAGTAGATTGTCTTAAATAGTAAGAGAAGGAAGGTTGTGGAGGCTTTAAAAACTGATCAGTGTTGAAGCTGACTGATGGTGTTCATCAAACTATTTTCTATGTGCTTTTCCATAACAAGCATTTTTTCAATTTCATCTTTTTGGTTCCTCCTGATGTATTTTGCTGAAACACTTTTTCTCCTTTGCATATACTAGGCAAGCATCATTCTACAAATCAAGAGCTATTCCCTAGCATAGTCCTGTGTGTGTGTGTGTGTGTGTGTGTAGGTCAGAAGGTGACACTGGGTGTCATCCTTAATTGGTCTCCACTTACTTATTTTAAATGTTTTATATAATTAATTAAGTTTGTTATTTGACATTTTCAAACATGTATAAAATGCATCCTTTTCTCACCTTCCACTCTCATCTCCCTCCTACAAATCTGTTTCCCGTGTATCATTTTGTATGTGTTTAGCCACCCATTAAGCTTAACCAGGGTCCTCTGTGTTAGCATGGGTAGAGAATTATTCAATGGCTCCCCATATCCCAGAATGTTTCAGTAACCTATATTAGAGCAAGAAGAGGTATGGCCACGGGAACCTGTGGCAAAGCCAGTTCTGAGCAGGTAACCAGAGCTGCTGTGAGTTCAAGATTACAGTGACTGTCATGTCTAGAAGACAGTGTTTAGAAGCAATTCTCCTCTCTTCTGGCTCTTACCTCCCTCTCCTGAGATGAAGCCTTGGAGGGCATGTTATAAATATCTTCTTAGGTCTGAGCACTCATCTGTCACTCTACCTTACTTTTTAACATAGGGTTTTTCACTGAACATGGAACTTGCCAATTCAGCTAAACTGGCTGGCCAGCAAACCCCTTCCTCTCCACCTTCCCAGCACTATGATTACAGCTTTTTATGTGGGTGCTTGGAATCCAAACTTAGGTCCTTACATGCATGAGTGGCAAACACTTTCCCAAGTGAGTTGTCCTCCTAGCCCCCACTGAATCCTCTCCTTAAGTCAACCCTAACATATGGGCATTCAGTAGAGCTGACTGTCCTCTATTCTCTCTATAGATGCTCATCATTATCCCATGACATCATACTCTACTAAAGGCTTTACCTCAAAGTCTGGGAGCACCCTTGAACTTCACATCTGTAAATCCCACTCCAGGTAGGGCTTCATGACATTGACAAAGGAAATTTAAATAAAACAATCAAGAATTTTGCACATGGGCTGGAAAGATAGCTCAGCAGTTAAAAGCACTCACTGGCTGCTATTCCAGGGTCCTAAATTCAATTCCAAGCAAACACATGATGGCACACAACCATCTATAATGGGATCTAATGCCCTCTTCTGGAATAAATGTGTATATGCAAATAGAATACTCATATACATAAAATAAATGAATTTTTTTTAAAAAAATATTTTTGTACAGATTAACCATTACCTCATACTCCCCGGAAAATAAATAATGCACCATGAAGTAGAGTTTGGGCCTGCACAATGCTCCACAAAAATATGGGCTTTTTCTGCTACTAAAAGTACATGAGTAAATTTATGCCCTAATAGCCTTTCCTTTTATATATGCAATACTAAGCACTTTTAAATCATCATTGGATAGTATATCTCAACTACAGAAACCTTTGTTTATGAGACTGACCACCTGCCCAGTCCCAAGAAAAATCAGAAATAAGTGTGAAGTAAAAATAAGATCTTTTTGAAAAAATCACTGTGCTTTATTTAGCTGTCACCTTGACACAGCCTAGAATCACCCTGGAAGTGTTTTCATTGAAGAACTGTCTACATTAGGTTATCCAGGGGAATGTCTGTTGAGTATTTTCTTATTTGTTAGTTGAAGTAGAAAGACTGATCCTGGATGTGTGTAGCACACTTTAATGGGCCTGAACTGTAGAAAGGGGAAGAAAGCTGGCTGAGCGTGAACAGCAGCAAGCAAGTAAGCAAGGTATCTACTCTCACTTTGTTCCTAACTGTGGATGTAATAACAGAGTGAAAATTCCTCCCTTCATTTTCCCTAAATGAAGAACTGTAACTTGGAAATGTAATCCAAATGAACCCCTTTGTCTACACACACACACACACACACACACACACACACACACACACACACACACACACACACACACACCCCTTTCTCCCCAGAGTTGCTCCTTGGAGGGTCACTGTGAGCTTGAGGCAAGAATAGCCTACATAGCAAGCCCATCTCAACTGCTCAAAAAATGGTTGAAAGAATATTTTAAATACCAGCTTTCTATAATTTTTTACAGTATTCTAATGGTATATAATGTTCTATTAGTTGTTTAATATAGTTCAATAATATTACTCATATCCCATCTTCTTTTCAAACTAATTACAATTTAAGTGTGTTACTCATTCTTCCAGAACCAACATCTTTCCTCATCTTCAATACACTATACAACAGTAACAAACACATATAAATAAAGCACAAAGACACAGCAGTTAAATTATATAGATGGTTATAGCATGAGAGTATAAACAGATTATGGTACCTTAATCACAAAATTAACAAAATACATTTTGAGGGAAATGTGAAGATGGAACAGCAACAAAGTTTATAGTGTGAGAGTTATGAATCCTAGTAGTTGAAAAATATGTGGGTTATTATGTGATCTACAGTGGTGTCCTGACTATAAGATATTTTAAGGACAATGATGGTACAAAGCTTGTGGGAGTAACCAACCAATAACTGATTTGACTTAAGGCCCACTCCACGAAATGGAACCTACAACACTGCTTGGGTGACCAAGAACCAGAGGATAAATAGCCCAGGCATGTAAGGTAAAACCAAATATTACTGGTCTAAAAAAAAAAAGAAAAGAAATAGTAACATGACTCTGCTATACTTAGATCAGTGCCTTGTTCGGCCATCATCAGAGAAGCTTCCTCCTGCAGCAGATGGAAACAAATACAGATATCCACAGCCAGACAGTGTGCAGAAAGTGAGAAGCATTGAAACACTCAGCTCTAGATGGGATGTCTCCATCAAATCCCTCCACAGAGCCCAGGGAACCCCATGGAAGAGAAGACAAAAAGTGTAAGAACCAGAGGACATGGAGGACACCAGGAGAACAAGAACCTCTAAATACAGAGTGAATTCCAGGACAGGCTCCAAAGCTACACAGAAACCTTGTCTCAGAACAAACAAACAGACAGACAGACAAACAAAAGAACCTCTAAATAAACATGAGCAAAGCTCCTTTGAACTCACAGAAACTGAAGCAGCACACAAGGGACCTGCACGGGTCCCACCAGGTCCCCTAAGTATATACTATGGCTCCCAGTTTAGTGTTTTATGGGGTTCCTGAGTGTGAGAATGTATAAGTCTCTGTTTCTCATGCCTTCCCAGGCTCTGTATATTTTTGTTCAGTTCTAATGTGTTAGTTTTTGTTTTATTTTATTATATTTTACTTTGCCATATTTTAATATTATCTCAAAGAAGTCAGCACTTTTCTAATGAGAGACACCAAGGGAGTGGCTCCAGACAGAAGGGGAGGTGGGGAGATGCTGGGAGGAGTAGAGGAAGGGGAAATTATAATCAGGATATATTATGGGAGAACAGAATCTATTTTCAATAAAAGGGAAAAAAAGGGAAGACATGTGAGTTATTTTTTGAGCCCAGAGAAAAACAAGTCCATAAAAGACAATTTGAACATGTAAAAGTATGTTTCATAATACAGTAATTTCTGGGTCAGAGTAACACAATTTTGTTCACTGTGAGACATGCATGTAAGGGAATGATAAGAGGCACCTAGGGTGTCACAAAGAACAGCTGGCACTTCCTCAGCAGAGGTTAAGGCTGCTTCTGAGTACGCCTTACCATTCCTCTCAGCACACTACCCCTCCAGCCCTTGGTTCTCCCTCTCTCTCTGATTTATGGGCTCACCTGGCAAGTACAGTTGAGACTGTCTCACTCTACACACTCTCCAGCCAGTTATATCTGGTCTTGCTACAACTGCTCCATTTGTTTCTGAGTTCTCAGTCTACAGGTCTACTTCCAATCTTATGAATTCAAGTCCTCAATTGATTATAACTACCTAGCTCATAATACATCTTTCAAATTCAACTTAGCTAACATAGGGTGCACTATCTTCTCTCCCAAATCTATTAATAGTATTGCTTTCTAGTACTAATATTATCAATTTGGGAGGCATGCTAAGACTTTTCTTCTTCAGATCCCAACTTCTATCAATTGCAAGCTCAGACAAAGCATTAATTTCCACAAATGACATTTTCTAGGCTTGAAAAATGTTAAGATCCACCAGATAGAAGACTCACAAATATAAAATGAACAAAGTCTCTTGTAGCATTAGAAAACTATTAAAATATGTCAGAAACTATAATTATCTAAGTTGCAGACAGAACACAGGAAGGTCAAAAGGGTCTTGGAACTATGGAAGGGTTCTTACTACCTTTCCCAGTTATAGAGGTTAATGTTGATCTGGATTGCTTGATAAATGAGGCCGGCCTGGAGAAGCAGTGTCTCAGCCTCCTGTATGTTGCCACTAAACATTAGTATGTGGGCCATTTTTGACTCTTTGGATGGAAGATCTTTTATAGCATTGATGTATCGAACTTTATCAATCTAAAAAAAAAAGGAAGAGAAACAGAACATAAGTCAATAATAATATAAATATAATAAATTATGCTAAGAAAAAACTCATATGCACATAAACATTATTCACTTACTTCACCAATTGCCGCATAGGCTATTTCTGCAGTAATCATGTCTCGATTAGCAACTGCCATAGCCGCTAAGCAAGTCCACATGCTTTGCTCCTAAGGTGAAAGATGAGAGTAAGTATGTTTAGTAGATAGAACTACCTACAAGCAGTGGTTTGAATTCCAATGGTGATACAACTTAATTATTAATTTACCAATAAAACATTATGGAATATGGCATTGAAAAAAAAACTAATAATAAAGAAGTAATATAGAAGCCAGACAAGGTAGCACACTTTTAATCTCAGCATTTGGGAGGCAGTGGCAAGTAGATCTCTGTGAATTCAAGGCCAGTCTGGCCTTCACAGCAAGTTCAAAGACAGCTGGGGCTAAGACCCTTTCTCAAAACAAAACAAAACAAAACAAAACAAAACAAAAAAAACACCATAGGTCTCTATTTAAAAACATTATCATCATTTTTACTATGTTGATCTAACCTATCCAAGAGTATGGGAGATCTTTTCATTTTCTGGCATCTTCTTCAATTTCTTTCTTCAAAGACTAAGTTATTGTAATACAGGTCATTCACTTGCTTGGTTAGAGTTACCCCAAGATATTTTATGTTATTTGTGGCTATTGTAAAGGGTGATTTGTTTTGTTTTGTTTTCTTTGTTAGCCCTTTTATCATCTGTATATAGGAGGACTACTGGTTTTTGTTTTGTTTTGTTTTCCGAGTTAATCTTGTATCCAGTCACTTTACTGAATGCGTTTATCAGGTGCAGGAGTTCCCTGGTAGACTTTGTGGGGTTGTTTGTGTATCTGTACTACCATATGCCCAGCATGCACAGTACCTTAACGAAGCGGCAGAGCCTTACAGCATCTTCCCATTTTGAGCTGCTCACATACTCATGGAGGATGGCAGGGTATGGGGATATGCTGATGTGTACCAGGGAGCCATCAGCTCTTCTTATAGTCACCTGATTTCCAACAAAACTCACTATATGGGGGTTTTTACTGTATTCACTGTTGAAAACACACAAAGGAAAACTTAAAGCTATATTCTGCATAATTTTTATATGTATTACATTTGGGAAATAGCTCTAACATAATCTTCAAAATTCACCCCCCCCATTTAACTCCAAACAAAGTACATATTCAAATAAATATTTCAATATAACATGTAGATGATAGACATACACTTGAAGCAAAATATACCAATAACTTAAAGTGGCAAAAGTTACTCCATATTTGATGACTCCTCCTAATAGCACCTGCAGAGAGCTTCTGCAACAGTTTGGATCCCTGTGGTAAAAGCTTGTCTGTCTGGGGAGTCTGTTAGAGGTGGAGCCCAGTGAAATGTGCTCAGGGAGCAGGACATTGCCTGTGAGGCTACCCCAGGACCCAGCTCCTTCCACTCATCCCTTCCCAGCCTTGAGGAAGCAGTTTTACTCCACTCCCCACCCCTGCCAAATGCATTCTATTGCCACAGGCCTAAAAGCCATGGGGCCATTTGATCACGGACTAGAACCTCTGAAGCCTTGCCCAAAATATTTACTTTCTTTTTTATAAGCTGCCTGTCCCAAGTACTGTTATAGCAACAAAAAGGTGACTAACATACCTCTTTCCTTGAATCTTAAGATAAATTATGAAAACAAATAATTTAGTTACTGGTTTTGAAAATATTTAAAGGGAAAATGGTTAAAAAAATTACGGTAAATTACAAAATTATTTTCTCATGGTAAAAACAGATGAACTTTAAGTAAGGAGACTGACACCTTTTAGTGACTTTAGCAATACTTTTTTGTTGTTTTTCTAAGGCGGAGATTCACTGTGTAGTCCTATAGGGCCTGAGTTTACTCTGTAGTCCAGGCTGACCTAAAACTCACAGAAATCCTCCTGCTGTTGCCTCCTTAGGGCTAGGACTAAAGGCATATACTACCATATCTAATTTAGAGCTAATTTATAAATACTTTTTTAAAACAATCTTTTATTTTGTTACAATTGTGAACTTAAACACTAAAAGTAAACTCAAAACAGATTTGAAAACCAAAGTGAAGCTGAGATGTAAGAAACCTAACTTGCTGCTTTGTAAAGAATATTTTTCTCTTTACAGTTAAGAAACAATTTTGATACATATAAGTTTTATTTTCTTTTAAAGCTTTTTAGTAGCTATCATTTAATCTACCTTTAACATTACCCAAAATTTCAACTGAGGACACATACACATTCCTGGGATTCTTAATATCAATGAAAATCTATATGCTGAGTAGTGGTCACAAAGTTTTATACTGGTGAAACATCAAGACTTCGGTATAGAAATCATTAAATCACACTGAAAAAATTCATCTGAACTATCATTAAGCAGGATTAAGCTTGAAAACTACTCATTTATAAATGTTGAGTAAATAATTTATATTTTATTTTCAATTTGACTCCATCACTTAAATCTTAACAAACCAGCATTAGCTAGACAATTTATTCAGTTGAGTTTGATTAAACTTTAAAAATACACCCAGGAAAAAAAGCATGCCAATTAGAAGTTTATTTACAACATAGAATCCTGTGCAACACAACATTACCTTGCATCTCTTTCATACAATGTTTTCGGCAAAATATCTCTGTCCACATAAATGGTATTAGGGTAATACCACACTGTAAATCGAGTGTCTTGAAGTCCACAAAGGATATTGCATGTATCACACCATGCCAATGTATGCACCATGGTTCCTTAATTTAAAAAGAATAGTCAAGATCCATTAATGTCAACAGATATTAGAATCTAGCTTTAAAATCAGCTCACAAGCAAAATCATAATTAATGGATTGAGTATACCTCTACTTTCTGCCTGTATAATAACAGTGAACAGATGCAAAAACTCAGAAAAGTAAAACTACTTTAATGTTTTACCTAAAACCATTGTTTTTAATTGACAGATGTTTCAGTGCTGACTTAGTCACAGAACTAAAATTTGCTATTAAAATTGAGTTACTAAGTAGTGAAAAAATGCAGACTAAAATTCATACATTCATTCAAACATTAAGGTAGCTAGCATATGATAGACAGTCTAAGAAAATTGACAGTAATTAAATGCGTGGAAATTACTTTACCAAGTTTAATAATCTGCTCTTCTTTCCCAAATCGCTTCACTGAGGTGATGTAGAGGTCTCTATTTTTGTCAATGAAAGCAATTTTTCTGTCATTAGTAAGTCCCTTTTGATCCAGAGCAATTTCTGAGATTTCATTCTAAAATTTCAAAAAGTATGTAAGTACTGAATCCATTTTAGTGCTTGACATTATGCTCATTTAAATAAATTATCAGAATAATTCTGTTCTTACAGATCAATTAAACCAATTGTGGTGGCAAATGCCTATAGTGCTAGCACAGGAGACAGAGGCAGAGGATTAGAAATTTGAGGCCAGCCAGGGCTACGGTGCAAGATTCTGTATCGAGCAGAGAGAAAAAAAAACAAAAAAACAAAAAAAAAAGCAAAACAGAACAAAGCAACAGCAAATAAATCAATTAAATATCAATTACCTACTCAAAATAATAAAGTGTCCCTGTTAAATTGTATTATTTATTTATTTTAAGGCCAGGGAACATAAATTTAAGGCAAAGTGAGAAATAACTCTCCCAAGAACAGTATGGGTTCCCACAAAGGAATACACCTTATGAAGTAATTTTAGGTTGGTAATAACTGCTAATTCAAGAGCATCACTTAAGTGTAGTTACTTTGCTGGCAACCAAAGGGGAGGGAGATCCTTAAAATACAAAGAAAAATCTACGCTGATACTCTAACCACTGCCCTTTGCCCTGACCTTACTTAGAGTGACGGAGTGAAAGAATAAGACAAGTCACATTATCACATGAGGTCTATATTAATTAAAAGGTTTCTTATAAAATCTATTCTAAGTAGATTGCCTCACACCTGCACTTTAAAGATTTGTTATGCAAACTTCAGAAATACATGGGACTATCCCATGTCTTAGAACATTAAAATTTATAGGTTTCTTTTTTTCATGTCCTTTCCTATGAAACAGAAAACGTGATGTACGTAGACTTCCCAAATGAGACCCACAGTCATTCAGATTTTTTGGGAGGGTGGGTGGGTGGGAGGGGGAGAAAAATCTAATAACAAGCATGTCCAGAACTTACAACTTAGACTTCTAATTTCAAGATCTTTGTGTCTCTATAATAATAGAATATTTCTGAAATATTGAATTAACCGATTATTTAGTAAGATGAAGTTTCTTAAAACTCAAACACTTTAGTAGGGTTGGTTCATTTCAATTCAATCTATGAGTGATTTGTATGTTGTCTAATGTATCTGAGGACTTTGCAAGGAAATATGGATTCAACAAGCATCATAATTATACCATCAATCATTGTATCTAGGTTTATATAAATAACATCTTTTAAAACAAAAACATACACCTTTATTCAAATTGGTGGACCAGTTGTTCTACTTCATAATATATATTTAAAGGTTGCCCCTCTGGAATTTAATTCATATTTTAAAGAAGAAAATAATTCTTGCTTTATGATTTTGTTGTTGTTGTTTCAAGACAGATTTCTCTGTGTGTATCCTGGAACTCACTCTGCAAAACAGGCTGGCCTCGAATTCAGAGATCCTGCCTGCCTTTGCCTCTCAAGTGCTGGGATTAAAGGCATGCGCCACACCAGCTTTGTTTCATGAATGTTAAAGCACTCGTTAAGCATTATGATCCTAGTATTTAAAAAATATAAACCTTTCTAATAAATTATCTTTACAAATAAAAAAGAGAGTGGTTGAGAGTGCTTGCTGTGCAATCATGAGAACCAAGGTTCAGATCCCAACACCTACTGAACACCTGGAACATGCTTATAACACACACACACACACACACACACACACACACACACACACACACACACAATTTTTTAAAGGATTATTTCTCATTACCACCAATAAGGTAGCATTGATGTAGTATTAAAAATAGTTACACGGATGACCTGGTCTCTAAATTCAGACATGGACAACAGAGCTTCCCTGTTCTCCTGTCCAGCCTCCCCCCTTCTGTTCTAGTCCCCCTGAGTCACTCTTTGCAGTGGGACATGAAAGCAGTTTGTGCTCATTCAGTTCCTCCCTTGTGCTACACTAATGATAATCACCTACTGACTTAATTTAAGTGTGGTGGCACATGCCTACAATCCTAGCACTAGGGAGGTGGAGACAGGAGGATAAGGAGTTCAAGGTCATCCTCTGTTACATAGTGAATTCCAGCCAGCCTAAGCTACAAGAGACCCTGTAGCCAAAAACATACCAGTCCTGAGTTCTACTCTAAATTCTGTTCTTACTTGGGATGCTTAAGTTTTTGATTCTTCCAACATAAAAAAAAAAAAAAAAATGATGGGATGAATTATTATGTATAGAATGTAAAACAGTACCTTGCTGCTGTTGTTTGCTTTTGTGAGACAGGGTCTTTCTACATAACCTTGCTGGAGCAATTCTAGCCATATGGTCAGCCCAGGCTGGCCTCAAACTTATGATAGTCTTCCCGGGACAGTCTCTTGTGTGGGGGAACACAGCCATGCACCATGTGAAATTTAACATTTCTTGTACTATATCCACACACTCTGAGTATGTGAAGTAGAAGAAATTACATCCACACTTGTAACTATGAAATTGTAAATTCTTACTCTCAGGATATGTGTGCTCTAGTGAAAAAAATGAACCACATTAAAACAAATGCTTATCAAATGTTATTAAATAATTCTCATTTTAACTTTTTCTACAAAGAATTATTTATTTGGACACCTGAGAAATTTTTGTCTTCTTTTTTCCTTCAATTTTTTTTTTTTCATACTAGCCCGAGTTCCCTCCCCCCTTTCTCCCTCCTTCCCACCTTCCTCTACATCCTATCCACTCCTCAGAGGAGGTAAGGGCTCCCCTGGGAAGACAACAACTGAGAAACTTATTTCTTTTTATGTACTTAATTCTACTGAGATGGGAAAAAAATTTGCTTATATAGTCATAATTTAAAATGATGGTAAGCAGGCATCACATTCACTTCTAGGGGCAAGGCAAACTGACACTGCCTCTTTGAAAGGTAACACTTTTTAGAAATCACAAATGCTCAAATCCTTTGACACAATATTTGATGAGTTAATGTCACAGTTATAACAGAGCATGTGCAAGGCAACATTGTAATGGCAAAATACCAGAAACTTTTCTAGCCTGTCTTTGGAGGGTCTCACTAGCCCAAAGCCAGTCTTCAACTCATGATTCTCCTTCAACACTCCCATGCTGGGATGACAGATGTGAAGGACCACACCCAGCTAGACTGGAAACTTTAGATACGCATCAACTGGGCAGTTTAAATATACTGATACTACCAGACAATGTTACGTTATATGATGGGTATTGGGAGAAAGAACATGTAATGACACGGGAGGACCTCCAAAAATGATATTTGCGAAAAAAAGAAAGGTGCAGACCTAAGTACAACACTGTTGTGTAAGCAGAGGGAGGAAGACACACTAGTGCTGTTTGTCTGTGCACTAAAAATCTTTGCAAGGGCATATAAGATTAGTAACTTTGGTACTTACCTGGTAGAATATTGAGAAGTAGTTTGGTTGGAGAGAGATTTTTTTTACAACATATTTTAATGTGTTTTACATTTGTGATTTATATGAATTTATATATTATATAAATGTAAAACAAATAACTAAAGGAGGAAATAAAGTAACAATTCTAATGAATTGTTAAAAATGTCAAAAGTACCCTTATGCTTTGAAATATCACTTGTTTAAAAGGATAACTGTAAGGCAATATGCTCCTTTATTATTTAACACTAAAATCCAAAACCAATACACACATTACAATTCAGGGTGCTTTGTACTATTGTAGAGACTAATTTCCCTCTCTAATACAGTCACTGAACTACAGTCTTAAAACCTAAAGAAAATGCTGGCTAAGTACAAATCAGTAAGAAAACTACTACAAGTTTATAAAGACGTTTTTGTCTACAAAGTCTAGTAAACTAGATTGTGTTAATGAAAAGCAGTAAAAGCCTAATCAACAGACACCCATTCCATCATTTATTTACTGAATGTGCCCTGAGAGTGTCCTCTTTCAGGGATTCCCTGTGCTTAGGCTTGAGCTATGGTATGCATTCATTTTTAAGTATTAAATTAGTGTGTTTTCTCCCTAAAGGATAGCTACCAATTTTAAAATGGAATTAACTAAACAGTGGTCATTTATTCTAGACACAGCAAATGTTTATTACCTTATGAGAAAGAAGTTTCCCATCCCCTAAGGGTTTTCCAGTTGATGCTTCAAAGAGGAAGATTACTTGAAAAAAAATAGTAGAACATTATTAGTGTTATATTAGAACCATTACTGAAAAATTTCAGTGGCACTATCATAATTCTTGGTAAAAATTACAGAACTTCTATCAGCCCAGAAAATAAGCAGCACCAAATCTCTAATTATTAATGAGGTCACATTTTTTTTTTAATGAAAATAGTAGAACTAAAATTTTTCCTGACACATTGCCTAATTAAAAGTGTAAGTAATGACTAAGGATTAATGGCCCATGGGTCTATCAATGACAAGTCTAAATGTGGATGTAATGTTAGATTCTGGTATCTCTGATCTAGACCTGTGTAACAATCATATTAATGAAAGAAACTATGCATTAAGTAACTACTTATCATGATGCCAGGCAATGTACTTCATCCTGTTTCTATTATACATTCATGTAGTAAAATAAATACTTTATCCTTGATTCTTGGTTGGAAGCTTCAAAATCCCTAGCCTTTCTAGAAAATAGGAGTTTCTTTCCTATGTAAGACAGAACAACAGATTCTTCATGGGTGCTTTCTTTACTACCAGATAAGGGTTCACAATCAGAAATACAAGCAGCAATTAATAGGATGGAGCTGTTAGGTCTCTGACTCTATGGATGAAAAGGGGTCTAGAGACTGAGTTTAAGTGAGTGGCTGGTGATTTAACCAGCCACACAACATAATAAACCCCAAAGTTCAGTCAGAAAAACAAGCTACAGACATGGGAAGTGGTGGCCAACTTAATTTGGTGGGAGGGAGGGGCTTTGTATGGATTCTGAATATTCAGGATTTGAACAAAATAGCAGTATACCAGGTTTGGGAAGAAATGGATTGCCAATTTCATCTCAATTGCAATTGAGATGCTCCATAAATCATTAATGTTTTTGTAAATTACAGCCTTATAAAATATCCATCTCACAGCTTCAGAGTATCGACTGGCTTGCTTCAGAACTATGGGGAGGTCATAAGCAGCCTATATTTATTATAGACACAAATTTTTGGAGCTCAGCCAGTTCTCAGTCTGAGAATTTCCCTGAATTCTTGAGAGAAGGTTCCAGAACTGTGCCTCCCATGTTTCTAGTGAACAGCTTAATTTTTAGAATTAACTTAGAGAGAAAAAAAGATGAGTGCTATTAGGAATTGAATCATAAAGCTCCCCAAAGCAATTAGAAGTTTGGTTGCCAATCTACAACCAGAGGCGCTGGGGTGTAAAGCCGGGTGTTAAGGGCATGCCGCTGGAGGGAACAAAGGGACTCCAGCCCTCTCCTCTTTCTTGGCTTCCAGACACCATGAAGTGAGAGGCTTTGCTCTACCATGTGTTTCCTCCCATAATATTCTGACTTGCAATAGGCCCAAAGCAACAGGGCCAAGTGACCATGGACTGAAGCCTCTGTGAACATCAATAAACCTTCCTATCTTGTAATTGATTATCTCCAGTAGAGAAAGCTAACTTGTGTAAATATGATGCAGTTTATAAAACATTTACTTTCTACTGGGTGACTATTTTAGAACTATTTAAGTAATGTTCTCTTCAATGACTGTTAGCAGTGACATATTTTCCTAAATGCTAGTTAAAAGAATTAGTTCCAATGATGAAATGCAGAAAAATACTTCAAGATTAAATAATTTCTGTAGATCAAGCATTGGTTTTAAGACAAGACATTTTCTAGGGCCAACAGTTCTGAAAGGATATTGTAATGTTTTAAAATCCCGAACCAGTATATTACTTCATATGCTACAATGGTTATTATAAAAGCCACAAACAAAAAGAGAAAAATGTCAGTGAAGATGTGAGAAAACTGGAAATTAGAATATTTACACACTGCTTGCTGATGGTAGTAATGCAAAATGGTGTTGCTGCATAGAAAACAGCATGGAGGGGTCTCAGAAAAGAATGAATAGAACTCCAAGTGAGCTAGGAATTAATACTGGTTTCATTATCTCAAGGAAACATTAGCATTCTCGCGGTCATTGCATCATTATTCACAACAGCCATAATGTGGAATCAGTCTGATCAGTGGATAAAGAAAATTTGGTATGTGTGATACACACCATGATAGAGGAGAGTAGGAAGGAGAGAAGAAGAAAGGGAGGGAAGGAGGGAGGGAGAAAAGAAGGATTGTGGAGAGGGAGGGAAGGAGGGAGGAAGATCATTGAGAAAAGAATGAAGATAGAAAAGAAAGCCCAGCACATCTGGAAGACAGGCTAGATGAAATACAGTGACTAGCAAAGCACGAGTATTGCATAATTCTACCAATGTGAGGTGCATAAAATGATAAATCTTATAGAAGCAAAACGCAGGATAGTGGTTGCCAGAAGCAGGAAGAAAGAAATGGATGTAAAGTTTCAGTAATGCAAGATAAGCAAGGCCTAAAGCCATTCAGTATAACACTGCACCTATAGGGAACCAGCTAACAATCTGAGAGGAGAGATTTCCAGTTAAGTGTTACCACAAATGAACACAGTAAATGAGGCTGGAGGTGTCACTCAGCAGTAAGTGCCTAGCATGAGTGAGACCCTGTCCTCCTCTCCTGCTGCCTGGTTCATGCTGAGCCAAGGACATGGCCTTCTGGTAGTTCCTTTAACATGTCCATCTTTCCTGCCCCATAATCTTCCTACTTGTTAGTTCTGCCCCAGGTAGTGTGCCCTGCACTGCCACTCTTACTTCAGAGCATATGTCATTAGCCAATGGCTGGTTATGTATTTGTTTACTGACTTATTTTTATTTATGGATTGTCTATCTTGATCACCACTGTATCTTAAATTTCTAGAAAAGTACTTGATCAATAATATCAATAAGAGTACTGTACTCAATACTATCTGCTTGATAATTTTATCTGTGGAATAGTGATATCTTAATAAAATGGTAAAACACTGAACATATTTATTTTTATACATATTAATATGGCCTATATTTTCACATGTAGGATTAAAACTATTCATACCTTTCTTTTACTTCATTAATTTAAAATATTAGTTGAAAATATATAAAGTAGCATAATGAGGAATATTTACCATATAACTAAATGAATAGAAAGGAAGTACTAAATAAGTTTAAAAACTTAAAATTTAATGTTTTAGAACTATAATCTTGAAAAAAATTCTCTGATGGATACATAAAGATTTATTTACCACTGGTCTTAGATATTGAGACAACATATATTCTGTTAGTATCACAATTTCAGTTCTTATTTAACTCACATTTAGAACAAATCTTGGAATTCGTATTTTTTTTCTATAAAATGCTAACATACTAATGAAGAGGGCTGGAGAGATGGCTCAGTGGTTAAGAGCACTGACTGATCTTCCAGAAACCCGGGTTCAACTCCCAGCACCCACATGGCAGCTAAACTATCTTTAACTCCAAGATCTGACACCCTCACAGATATACATGCAGGCAAGACACCAATGCATACTACAAAAGAGAGAGAAAGATAGGGAAATAAAAGTTCATGAAAATGTCATAGCATTATACCTGCATGAAAATTTGACATGAGAAACTATGAAGATAGACTTACTCTTTTCATCAGCTTTGTCTTTTATTGCTATAGTATCATTACTCAGGGACACAGTCTGTGCGTTCAAAATATCTGTCCTCATTCCAGGAAACTTTGGAGAAGAAATGAAGCGCCCTTCATAAGAATGCAAATAGATACCACCACCATCTACCAGAAGAAAATGTCTAAAACAAGAAACAAAAGTTTTTGTTTTTTTTAAATAGGAAGATACTATATTTTCATATTTGTATTAAGGAAGAATTTATCCTTTGGAGGAAAAATCTAAATCTTAAAATTATAATAAGTACATAGATGAAGTCGAAGTCTGAAATATTTTTAAAAAATGAAAGGAATCATTTTGATTTGTTTTCTGGTTTTTTTGTTTTGTTTTGTTTTGTTTTTTTAAATAGAGGTAGGGGAAGAAAATAAAAATATCCAAAATCACAAGCCTATCTACTAAAATTTTTATTTCATTTACATTATGCCCTCAACTCATTTCTTTTCCTGGGAAGCAAACTCCCATGCAAAGGCAATTAGAAAATCTTCCACATTATATAGACAACAAGATGTATTTAGGAATACGAGTGTATGTGTGTGTGTGTGTATACTTGCACACGCGCATGCATGTGCATGCTCATGAATGCTTGCAGGACAAGCACTATATAATGTATATATACATATATGTATAGATACATACATACATACACACACACACATATGCATGTAACAGCAATTAATGAAAAAGATCATAAATTTAAAAGAGAACAAAAGGAGTTAAGAGGGAGGAAAAGGAATGGAGAAATGTTTTAATTGTATTATAATCTCAAAAACAAAAGAAATAATAAAAAAGTACAGTAGAGAACATTAGATGAAGGCACCAGGCATGAACTCTGACCTTCATGCACACAATTGTGCACATACACATGAATGCACCCACATACACACACACACACACACACACAAAAAAAAAAAAAAAAATAAGTAAGAGAGCAACAGAGGAAAACACCCAATGGCAATCTCTAGCCTACACACATGCATTTATACCTGCATGCAAATGTGTACACACATATTACACACACATATACATAAATGCCACCATGCTCAACACTGCAAGCATTTTCTATCATAAATAAGACATCAGATTTTAAACTTCTCATAAGGAAATATCTTTCAATGGGCAAATGTCTCTGGCTATATAAATAAGAGGCAGGCAGTAAATAAGTTGATTTATGCCATCAACACATAAACTATAAACATACTCAATAAACTTAATATATAAATTTATTTGGAACTGTTGGACTAAAAGGCATTTGAGAAATAGAACCTTTAGATAACTGGCCTCTTACCTTTTAAAGGACAAAATGACTTGTATTTATAAATGATGACATAACTAAAGCATGTTTCAATGTCATTAAACAGATGACAAAGCTTGATGTTATATTTCCTTGACTACTCAGGATCATCTTTATGATAACCATGTTTCTCTGTAATTAAATGACAGTTTGGATCCTCCTGAGAATCTGTTGAAGTTCAGAAGAATGACTAGACAGCCACTGCTCTGTGCCTCTGACTTTCTCGTCAGTCCCTTCCCTGCCTGTAACTGTGCCAACGGCCAGCGCCACCAGCCTGCTCTAGGTTATTAACAAAAAGCTCTGGGCTGGAAAAATCTACTAATGAGCAACTACATTCCTATACTTCATTAAGTCTTAGTGTGTATCTTTTCTACATTTGACCTTGGCTAAAATGTGGACAAGCAATTGAAGTAGTTTTTCTAAGTTTGATCTCTGATTCAGTTGGGAATCATTGTATTTAATAAAGTGACTGACAGTTTTTATTTTTTAAAATTGTGGCTCCTGAGGCAACAGCTAGTCCTAATTTGTTCAAGAGTTTTTTTCATCTTATATTTACTGAAGGACTTAGCAAAAAATACTACTTCCAATCTTCAGCCCACAACCTAGTAGTAGCTCATGAAATCAGTGAGTTTTGACCAATATTTAAAAACAAAGACAAGATGGGGGTATAGCTCAGACTTAAGTCATGCTCTGGGCACATGCAAAGACCTGGGTTCCATCTCCAGCTCCATGGAAAGAGGAAGGACCATGGGGCAATGCTGGGTTTAGAAGTTCAGTCCTCACCTGGGGCACTCTTACATTTTGATACAAATTTAGGATCAACTAAATTTGAATAGAAGTTAAAAAGAAAGAATGAAGAGAAAACAGGGGACCAAACTAATCTTCCCATTTCATTGTCATTCTCTTATATTGATACCCTAATGTTACTTGTATTGAGATTTTATAAAATTTAAGACTAGCTAATAAATTCCTATAATAAATGTAATATAGTGAATGAGTATATATATATATATATACATATGTATATACATATATATATATATATATATATCTCCCACATGTTACTTTCAACATCTTTTAAAAACATAAAGAAATTCTAATATAACATTTCATTACCACTGATATAATTTATTTTTAATTCTTAAACATATAGTAGAAACATACTGAACCCAAATGACTACTATATCGTTTTATGAGATATTTTAAAAAATATATTTTTCTAGGCATGGTGGTGCACACCTTTAATCCCAGCACTCAGGAGCCATCACTGTGAGTTCGAGGCCAACCAACTCTACAAAGTCAGTTCTAGGACAGTCAGTGCTGTTACACAGACATACCCTATCTCAAAATATATATATATATATATATATATTTTGTCTTAGTATTACCTGCATTTATGTAAATGTATAATATGCATGCAGTTCCCATGGAGGCCATGAGAGGACACCAGATCCCCTGGAACTGGAGTTACAGATGGTGTGAGCCACCATGTAGATGCTGGGTACTGAATCCAGGTCCCTTCAAGAGCAGCCAGTGCTCTTAACCACTGAATCATCTCCAGCTCTTGTATGATGTTTTAAAGAGTGTTTTACTGCTGCATGAGCTATCCAATAGTTAAAATATAAACAATAAACAAATTACCTTTCTGCCTGGAGAATTAAACTAACAGTTCCTTCCTTGAGATCAAATATAAGTGGTGTATTCCAGTTCTTCGTACTAAAAGATAGATAAAATAAATTTTATTAGCATTTCAAATACTAAACACATTTTAATAAGCAAGCAGTTACTCATTTTAAATGGTTAGTTTAACTTCACAAATTATCACATATATATATATATATATATATATATATATATATATATATTCATTAAAGTACCTGACACATTAAAATTATTCATTCACATGTCTGTATCCTAGGCTAAAAAGCAGACATTTTGTGTTCCCAGCAACTAGTACATAACAGGCTTTCAATAAGTGTTTACTGGAGTTATAACTCATGACTTTAGGACTCCTAAGAACAAGCCCTTGTTCTGCTGAGTTTGGCTAGGCCATCTAACAATTCTCAGTAGCATAGCATGCTGAAGATATGTTAGACATATGAATAAAATATCAGGCTGCATCATCTCCCAGCCACATGACTTTAACAAGCTGAGCTTCTGTAAAGTAAGTGTCTTCATTGAGGATAACAAAGAACTACATAAGTGTCTCTGATTGAGATATATAAATATATATCTATATTTATTTATATACATTATATATATAAATATATAAATATATCTCAATCACTGAACAAAAGAATTGTAATAATAGCATGATGACACTAGTTGTGGTGGTACACACCTTTGATCCTAGCACTCAAGAGGAATCTCTTGAGTGAATCTCTGAGTTTGAGGCTAGCCTGGTCTGCATACTGAATTGTATGCCAGCCTAATCTATATAAGAAGACCCTGTTCCCACCTACCCCCACAAAAAAAAATTAAGAGGCTAAATGTAATTATTTCCAATGATCTTCTAGTACTTTGTTGGCTTAAAACAAAATTATTTCTGTGAAGAACTCTATAAATGTAAAGCTATGACCATGCTTACTCAATAAAGTGATGAGTAGATGCACAAATAATTCCTTTTATTTTTAATAGGATAATATGATTCAAAGACTTAGGTGAAAGCCAGAGAAGGTGGCTAGTGTCTGTAATCACAGCACTCAGCAGTCAGAGGCAGGGGAATTACTATGAACTCAAGGTTTTTATTATTCTCAATAACTTTCACAGAACCTATTCTACTTTTTGAGACACAGTCAAATGTTCTAGGGGCCCTGAGCTTCCATATAGTTGCTGATGACCTCGGACTTCTAATCCTTCTATTTCCACCTTCCAAGTACTGGGGTTACAGACATGTGTCATTTATTCTTTCATTGCATGGGTATGCACATATGTGCATGCATATACCCAAGCATTACATGTGTACATGCCTGGTCACCTTGCCACCTTACAGATAGGAAACAGGGTCTGTCGCTAAAGCAGAAGCTCACCACCAGCTGGGTGGGCTACAGCCAGCTAACTCCCAGGATCTGCAGGTCTCTACCCTCTAATACAGGTATATGCAGCTATGCCCAGCTTTTTCACTTGGGTGCTGGAAATTTGAACTCAGATCCTCATATTTGCACAGGAAGTATGCAAGTACCCACTGAGCCATCTCCTCAAAACCCTCTCCCATTCCTTAAAGAGACTGCTCCTCATTTTCACATCTAGAAGATAGAAAAAAGAGAAAGACTGCAGAGAGAAAGTAAACTGGTGTACAATTAAATGCTGGCTATCAGAGTTTGACAGCTCTTTAAGTAAGTAAATACATGCATAGGGCAAAACAAAAGAACCCAGCAGTTTTGTTAGCAATGGCTACTTAGAATCAGTGCCAATAATTAGTTTGATAAAGATAAGTGTTTTGTATTTCAGGAAAAAAAAAATACTTCCTTAGTCATTAGAATTAACCTTCATTGTCTATCTAGAGAGCTATAATCAGAAAAGTAGTGATTATGTGAGGTTATTGAAAAAGTGGCCTCTTAGAGCTGGGAATGTAGCTCAGGGGTGGAGGGCTTGCCTAGCATGTGTGAGGCCCTGGACTCAATCTAAAAAAAGAAAAAGAAAACCCCTTCTTGGAAATATCTGGCCAGGTGGTGGTGGCACACACCTTTAATCAGAAGGCAGAGGCAGGCAGAACTAGAGGTCAGCCTTGTTTACAGGAAGAGTTCTAGGATATCCAGGCAGGGCTACACAGAGAAACCCTTTCTTGGGGAGGGGGGGAGAGAAGAAAATAAATATCTGAATTTCTCACTATTGAGATCTAATATAAATACCAAGGAAATACACACTCACTAAGCTATGAGATTAAAAGCAAGGGAGGGTTTTAAATATGTTTGAAAAAATAAGTGATAATGTAATATAGCATTCTTCTATATTATTTTCTTCTAAAATTTCTTTTTGTAAATTAAGTATATTACATGTTTATTTTTAAATTATATATTATTAAAAAGGGGACAACAGTAGTTAAGAACTTGGAATCAAACTGCAGTTCTCTTTTAGTAATAAATAACTATTTTAGTAAATAAATAACCTTGAGGGCAGGTTACTTAGTTATTCTCTATGGCCTTTAGCTCTTCATCTTATAAAATAGGAATAGTACTAATGATAAGTATAACCATAAGTAGTATAATGAGTCACTCAAACTAATAGCTATTATCTAAAATACTAGTTTATAACTTAATGAAATAAGTTTTGGTAAAATGCCTCAGCACTATTTCATTCCTACAGCTGCTCCATGTATTTCATTTTCATAAATATTAATATTTGGTATCTTAACGGATATCTTAACAACCAGAAAGCAAAGACAAGGCTCCATCAGGAATGAAGACAGTCTTACATTGTTCCACACAACATAGTATGAGAAAAGTAAGGTAAGCAGAGAGTTAAAAATGTAACATCTACCTAATGCTACCTAATGGTAGCAAGCCTATAGCTTCAAACAGTAGGTTCTTGTCACTACCACCAGGAAACTAAATCCATCACTTAGGGCAGCTAAGAGTCATAATTTTCTACAAAACAAAAATTTAAGCTAAAGAACTCATCTTCATTTTCCTTAACCCAGTGAAAATTACTGAAATACATACCTGTATTAAATTATATTTTTCTTCTAATTTATAATCCTTTCTGTAAATCTTAGCCATTTAGCTTAGTATTTTTTTTTTTTTTTGATTTGTCCTAAACTATCACTGTTCTGCCATTTTTTTTTTTTTTTCATCTAAGGATCAAACCACATAACATGAAGCCGCTGGCTTCTTTCTCTACTTTCCATTGCCTCTATTTCAGCCTTCCCTACTCCAGTACTCCAGATGTGACCACTGCTTCTCCTACTTCAGTACTCCAGATGTGGCCACTGCTTCTCCTGCTCTAGTACTCCAGATGTGGCCACTGCCTCTCCTATTTCAGTACTCCAGATGTGGCCACTGCTTCTCCTGCTCTAGTACTCCAGATGTGGCCACTGCTTCTCCTACTCCAGTACTCCAGATGTGGTTACTGCCTCTCCTACTCAGTACTCCAGATGAGGTCACTGCCTCTCTTACTCTGTTACTTCAGATGTAGTTACTACCAAGAGGCAGATTCTGATTAATTGCAGATTTATATATATTGAGCGGGAACTACAGCAGTTGTCAGTTAAATTGAATATGATTACATTATGGATATCAATACAACACTATACTTAATATACTTAATATTTGTCAATTCATTTCTTTATTCAAAATACTTACTAACCACATGTTGAGCTAAGCATTGGACAAACAGTAGCAAATAAGACACACAGTCTATCTTTATCTCCGACATTTATCAAATGATTAAACGATAAATACACTAGTATAAATGCAAGCACAATTGTTTAAAGTCCTTAACATAGACTCCTTTTAAAATTGATTTTTATTTAAATTGAAAATAATCTTATTTTACATATCAATCCCAGTTCCGCCTCCTTCCTGCCCTCCACTCCCCCACCATCCCCCTACCCTACACCCCATCCCCTTCTCAGAGAGGGTGAGGCCTCCCATGGGAGATCATCAAAGTCTGTCACATCATTTGGGGCAAGACCTAGGCCCTCCCCTGTGTACCTAGGCTGAGAGCGTATCCCTCAATAGGGAATGAGCTCCCAAAGGGATAAATATTGGTTCCGCTGCCAGAGGCCCCATAGACTGCCCACACCCCCCCCCAACTGACTCCTACATTCAGGGGTTCTGGTTTGGTCTTATGCTGGTTCCCCAGCTGTCAGGCTGAGATCCATGAGCTCCCACTTGCTCAGGCCAACTGTTTCTGTGGGTTTCCCCAGCATGGTCTTGACCCCCTTTGCTCATCACTCCTCCCTCTCTACAACTGGATTCCAGGAGTTCGGAAGAAGCTAGTCACCAAAACACCAAATAATCCAATTAATAAATGGGGTGCAGATCTAAATAGAGGAATCTCAAATGGCCAAAAGGCACTTAAGAAATTGCTCAATATCCTTAGACATCAGGGAAATGCAAAACAAAAAAAACCTCTTAGATACCATCTTACACCTGACAGAATGGCTAAAATCAAGACCACCAACAATAGTTTATTATGGAGAGAATGTGGAGAAAGAGGAAAACTCCTCCACTGCTGGTGGCCATGCAAACTTGTACAGCCACTTTAGAAATCAGTACGATGGTTCCTCAGGAAAATGGGAATCGATCTACCTCAAGACCCAGCAATTTAACATAGACTCTTGAGGGTCTGAGTGGTCATGAGTCTTCTGGATAGTTGAGATGGTAGCATGCAAAAGCTGGCTTCCAGTAGTTAAATTTTTAAGGATTTTGGAAGTTGACTATTAAATATAGCCAATGCTTAAAATGAAATTTATAGACTTATTTACTGTGATAGGCAAATTATGTTCAAGATAAAGGTAACAAATGCTCAGGACTTAACACTTCACCTTCATTGACTCATTTATTATACATACTGCAAGTTATTTACATCTATCCTAGCTATGTAGTGGCAAGAGTATATACTGACTGCCATTTGGCATCTCCTCTCCACTTTCAGCAAAATCACACTAGCAGCTTAAAATTGGTCATGATACACATTTTTACATCATCATAATCACAATATGCAAATGAGGTCTGCTTCCAGCAAGCTCCTCCTCCAGTACTTATGAGCACACACTGATACCAAGTATGCTTCAAATTGTCAGCCATGTTTGTAGTTTATTACCATTCTTTGCCTTCTGATAAGGAGGACACTGGATGCATTTTCTTCCAGTCTTTCTAAACAACTTTGGCTCATCAGTGAGCATATGGTTACCATAACTCTGTGTCCTTACTGAAGTCTTTCAGCCTGACAGCCATCCTGCTACAGTGAATCTGCTGCCTTCTCTCCTCAATGCCCTATGCCCTGAGCTTTGAGTTTACATTATACCAAAGTCTGTAAGTAAATGCTGTTAAGTAAATGCTATCTCACAGGAGTTATTTGCAGTTGTAAAAGTGAGTATTAGCCTTTGAAGAACAAATTTCTTTAGATCTACCTTCATTGCATATAGCTTAGAGTTCTTCCTCATTTCCTGATCTAAGACACGGTGCTAATCAGTACAGTTTTGAGAAAATTAAAGTTACACCAAACTGTACTGATATGAAAACTTGAAAACAGATCCTCATCCCGACAAAACCTCTGGAGTTTTTAGGAAATGTAAGATGCTCACGAGAAGACGTAGCACTGAAGAGATGTTGAAACAACCAAGTGTCCATGGTTCAAAGATGCTTTAATGACTCTGTCTCGGAACTCCAGTAAATCCACAGCATCATTGAGGACATTCCGAACCTAAACCAAAAGAAAAGAAAGAGGAAAAAGGGAGGAAAGAAAAAAGAAATACCAACATTCTTTAAAAATCAAATTTTTAATTAAATAAGCTAGTAAGATTTTAATGTGCACAAAAAATTCAGCGTACCCTTAATTAGCTAAGTATATAAAAAAGAATCCATCAAGGTATAAGCTGATATACTTTGCTGTAGAAGTCAACTAAGAAAGTACAGATACAAAAAGATGCTGTTAGAAATAAATAGAAAAGACCTATAAGGATTTTTAATCTTCATGCCAAACAAGCAATGTAGGAATGGGATGAAGTTAAAAATGCTCCAGCACTGAGATGTAGTCAGAGGAGGGTGACATATGAAGTTGGAAAGAGACCATGGTTTCTGTCCAAAAGAGTAAGAATATCTCTTTCTGGTTAGACTTTATTTCAAATTTTAAGTTCTAAAAAAAGATATAACTGCTTTAAAAATCAAAAGTAGAGGAGGTATTGGCTTTATTTAAAAATTAAAAAAAAAAACTGTAGAGAGAAGGGGAAACACTTTAATGGGGAAAGGAAGTGGTTAAAAGGCAACTGGAGCCAGGCATGTTGATGCATGCCTTAATCCCAGCACTCAGGAGGCAGAAATACCCAGACCTCTGAGTTCAAGGCCAGCCTGGTCTACAAAGTGAGTTCTAGGACAGTCAGAACTACACAGAGAAACCCTGTCTCAAAAACAAACAGAACTGAAAAAGAAGCAACTGGAAAGGGGAGAGTCAAGACTAGGGAAGAGCCACTCTGCATGATCTCCTATAGGAGTCTTGACACTGCTTTAGTCTGCCACAGCTAGCATGGACTACCTGGCACCTGCTGTCCCTTACTGACCTATCTGGAGTCAACCAACACCATTATCTTGTGTACCCTGACAACCAGTCCATTGCCACCATTATCTTGCACCCCTATTTTCAGGGTCTTGAGCTAACTTGTCCATTCTTCAGCTCTCCTCTTTGGTACCCTGTTGGTCAATTCCTCTAGGAGCTAATCTGCTTATATTCATCAGTTCTGAGTCTGCGCAGTGTCCACTAACCACTGGAGAAGAAGCTTCTCTGGGCACTTTATTCAAGATTTCATCACTTCATTTTCTTTACAGTTGAATAAAATTCCATTGTGAAAAAAAATTTACAAACATTTATAGCAGACAAGTTTGCAAGGATTTTAGCATTTGGCTGTACTGATCAAAAGTTCTGAAGTCAATGAACAACATATAACAAATCAAGGAAGAGTGTAATAAGCTAAGCTTTATACAGTCTGGAGGAGATCAAGATGCATAAGGTGGCAAGCATACCATGAGGGGAAGAAATAAAGAAAAACAATGTAATGATACCTGCAAACTAGTCATTCTTTAAATTCTCAATAATTAACAATGAAATGAAAGGACAGGAAGTCATTCTTCCAAGTATGTCTTCAAACTTCTTTGTTCTGAGTATTTGTGGCCCCCTCAATCCTGTTGTTGGATATTATGGAAATGAATTCATGCCTTTAAAGAAGAGGCACTTGCCACTATCCAGTGAGGACACAGCTAGAAGGTTCCAATAATGACACAGAGGGTACCCTATTTGGACACTAAATCCACTGGCATATTGGTTTTGGATTTCCAAATGTCTAGAACTATAAGGAAAAAGATCTGCTGTTTACAAGCTCCCAGGTTTTGGTATTCTATAAGGCAGCTTGCTAGCTTGGCCAGCATGCAACATATGTGTTCCCCAAATACCAACATGACATGAGATAGAAAAAGTGCATGCACATACACTTTGTCAGAGCATTCTCAGTACTAGAATCCTGCCTCAAAGAAACATAAGCAAAATTATGGAACAAGACCTGTGCAGGCTACTTACTACAGTGCTATCAATAACAGCAAAACACTAGAAACAGCCAGCAGCTTGAATAAACCACTGTGCATTTACACATGCCATATAATTGGATAACAAAATGAAGAACTATAAAGTGGCAATATAAGATACAGAACAGCATGTTTAGTACATTATCTTCTACCCAAAAATGAAAGGAAGTTTATATATATATGTGTGTGTGTGTGTGTGTGTGTTTAATTAGAACTCAATAACACATTATAAGAATAATGTGTTCTTTTTATATCTGTAGAACTGTTAATGGCTTCTGGAACCAAATTTTCCTTTTAAGAGATAAGAACAGCAAATAAAAAATGAAAAAAAAATAGTAAAATCTCTACAATTTAAATATGTATTAGAACTTTCTATATATTTAAATTTATGGTATTTTTAATCTATGAAAACCAAATCCATTTTGTCTAGAAGCCATGATCGATAAGCATCAATGATTGTATGTGGCACCTAACTTAAGTCGCTATATAAACAATTCTTCCAGGAAAGCAAGGCCCTCCTGGGAAAATGGTTGACTCCAACTATGGCAGTGCACACCAAACTAGGAAAAAAAAAAAAAAAAAAAAGCTTCAGCCATAAGAGAAAATGGAGAGTATATGGCAATTACTCCCACAATTTTAAAACTATGGCAATCTGTTCTGTGTTGTATTGTAAGGTGTGCCCATTGTTCTGTTCAATAGAGGAATGCTCTCAATTTCTTGATGCTTACATCACCTTATACTTTGTCCTGAGGAAATACACTAAAGAGGTCTGGACTATTTCGTCACACCAGAAAGCAAAGAAAGCCACTGAAGACACATCAAAAGAAGTAAGAGCAATAAAATATCTTGGTATAACTCTAACCAAGCAAGTGAGTGAAAGATGGGTATGCCAAGAACTTCAAGTCTTTGAAGAAATTGAAAAGGATATCAGAAGATGGAAAAAAATCTCTCATGCTCATGGATCAGTAGTTATTAGTAAAATGGCCATCTTACCAAAACCAACCTACAGATTCAATCCAATACCTATTAAAATCCCAACACAAATCTTTACAGGCATTGAAAGAACAATATGCAACTTCATCTGGAAAAACAAAAACCCAATATTTGTACAATAAAAGAACTTCTGATTTCAAGCTCTACTACAGAGCAATAGTAATAAAAACCACATGATACTTGTATAAAAACAGACAGATGGATCAACGAAATCTAATTGAACACCCAGGCTTAAGTCCACACAACTATGGACACCTAATTTTTGACAAAGTAGCCAAAATTATACAATGGGAAAGAGAGAGCATCCTCAACAAAAAATGCTGGTCTAACTGGATGTTGACATATAGAAGGATGGAAATCAATCCATATCTATCACCATGCAAATCAAGTGGTTAAGGCCTCAACATAAATCCAAATACACTGAACCTGATAGAAGAGAAAGTAGGAAATAATCTTGAACACATTGTCACAGGAGACAACTACCTGAACAGAACACCAATAGCACAGACACTAACATCAACAACTAATATGTTGCACCTCATGAAACTAAAAAGCTTCTGTAAGACAAAGGACAAAATAGAAGTCTACAGAATGAGAAGATATTCACCATCCCTATATCTGACAGAGAGCTGATTTCCAAAATATATAAAGAACCCAGAAAACTAGGTATGGTATCAACAAACTAAATAATCCAATTTAAAAATGGGATACAGATCTAATCAGAGAATTCTTAACAGAAGAATCTCAAATGGCCAAGAAGCACTTAAGGAGATGTTCAACATCCTTAGCCATCAGGGAAATGCAAATCAAAATTACTTTGAGATTCTCTCTGGCTGCTAAAAAGTACAGTCCCCAGTAACAGAATCCTCCAAAGTACCCACAATGTTCTTAATAGAAAGGCAAACTAGAGTTGCCAAACTGACCAAATATATTAGTGTCTTTTCCTGCTGTTGTGGGAAAATATTCTGACAAAAGCAACTCAAAGACAAAGGGGTTTATTTCAGCTCACAGCTCAAGGGTAAGGCCCATCATGGCCAGGAAGTCAAGACAATAGAAGCTTGAAGCCCCTGGTCATACCACATCCAACATCAGGAAGCAGAACGATGAATATATTATGGGTTTAGTTTACTCTCCCCTTCCACTATAGTCAGCATCCCAGCCCAGGAAAATGGGGCTACCCACAATGAGTAGACCTTTCCACCTACATTAAGCTAATGAAGACAAAACCCCACAGGCATGTCCAGAGGTCCCCATCTATCAGGTGACTCTAGATCCTGTCAAGCTGACAATTAACATAACCATCACAACACACAATAAACTCTACTGCAAAGAGTAAGTTCTTAGGGCATTCTAGTTCAGCTAGATTTAACATGTGGAATTGGTAATTACCATGCACCACTTTCTCTTCTCCCCATTTCCACAGTTGTCCCTGGAGTCACCTTGTTTCCCCTTTATTATTTTCATTTGAGAATAAGAGGAAAGTAAAAGGGGAGGGAAAAAATCTGTATTTTTAATTTTAATGCGTGTGTATGTATCTGAGTGTTTATCTTGTGTTTATCATGTGCACAAAGAAGCCCATGGAGGTGAGAGAGGGTGTCATATTCCCTGGAATTAGAGGTATAGGTATTTCTAAGCAGCCATGTGAGTGCTGGGAATCAAACCTACCAAAGTCCTCTCTAAGAGCACCAGTGCTTTTAACACCGAGCCAGCTCTGTGGGCCCTAGAGTACCTGCTTTAGAGAGAGAATGTGGATTTGTTTTTAATCATATGTGGAATGGCTTGAGTAGCTAAGTGGTATATACATGAGTTGCACATACATTTATAAGGGTATAATAAGATGGGCCTTAGGGCTATTTGCACTCTGTGTAATGTCTCCACTTGCATATGGACTGGACCTAGTAACCTGCTGCTACTCAACAGAATAAAGCAAGTGAGATGTCACTTTTGATGTCAGGTACAAAAAAAAAAAAAATGTGATTTATGCCTGGCCTGCAGCCTCTCTGGCTCCTCTTGCCTGCTTGCTCTGCTAAAGCAAGCTGCCAAGTCATGAGCTGCCATAGGGAAAAGCCACATACAGAGAGCTGAAAGAAACCTGTTGATGACCAACAAATAACTGAAGCCCTTAGTTCCAAAGACTCTACTCAAGTGAGTCCTATCAATAATGTCAGTGAGTTTGAAAGTAAATGATCCCTGAGATGAGCCGTAATCCTACCCACACCTTCACAGTGTCACTGAGACTCTGAGCAATAAACACTAACCAATCATTAGATTCCTAATCACAGGGACTGAGGGAAGTATGCTCCAAGACCTTTTTGGCTTTTCATGTAAGAACTAGCTGTGGTAGATTGAAGGTTACTTGCCCCCATAACCTCATAGGGAGTGGCACTATTAGGAGATATGGCTTTGTTGGAGTGGGTATGGCCTTGTTGGAGGAAGTGTGTCACTATGGGGGTGGGCTTTGAGGTTTCCTATGCTCAGGACACTGCCCAGTGTCTCAGTAAACTTCCTACTCCCTTTAAGATGTAGGACTCTCAGCTCCAGCACTATGTCTGCCTGCATGCCACCACGCTTCCCATCACGACGATAACGGATTTAAACTCTGTAAGCGAACCTCCCCAATGGAATGTTTTCCTTATAAGACTTGCTGTGGTCATGGTGTCTCTTCACAGCAATAGAAATCCTAAGACCCTAGAGGTAGCACTGTTTTAAGAGATCGTGGTACCTTTGAAGCATAAGCCACAGCTGCCAGATATACAGCTGCTTGAGAATTTCAGGCCAGCTCCACTTTTGCTTCCATTCCCTTGCTTCCTGACTGCCATATCAATGTAACCAGCTACCTCACAACCCTGCAGCCACACCTTCTCTGCCAAGATTCCCCCGCCCCCGCCCCCCCCCCCCCGGCCTGGGGTCTGCCTAAAATCAAGAATGCCTTGATATCCCTTGAGAAACCATTTCTTCCGCTAGTCTCAGTCACTAAGCAGTTCAGACGAGGCTGGCATCCCACTTCTCACTCAACTGAATACATTCAATGCAAGCCTAGCATATGAGGCTAAAAGGTTGGGCTCCTGCTGGAATAACTTACAAAAAATGAGCTTTCTGATAGACTTGAGTTGCTAGGATACAACACTGGAACTACCAAAGGCAACTACCAAATAGGGAAGCCAATTACAGGGAAGAGGAGACTAAAAAAGGATGTAATGAAGTCCTATTGGCATTATTTCATCCACTGAAGAAGTAATACCTCAACTTTTATAAATTAAAAGGCTCTATAATTCTACTTAATTTATTAGCTTTTCTTCTTAGGATAATTTGAATTTAATAAGCCACTTAAAAGATTCCAGATGTAATGTCACATGAACTTTATCTAGTCACTGAGATGAGTCTTTACTTCCAAATTAAAACTATCTAGAAGCACATCTGTGTTCTCAGGAGAGTTTTATAAATAATACTAGAACTTTTCTGATAATACTATACTGCCTAGACCTCATGCACACATAAATAAATAGTTTTGTCCCAAATCAGTCGGTTAGAACTCCCAATGCATTCTTTGTCCTGGAGATAATACCATGCTTAAGATCCAAGTTAAACAAATGGAATTCATTTTTATACTATCATTTTAATACACGGTCAATTTGCAGGAAGTTCAGAAGACAAAAAGGAAATGTCTATCCAGTCCATGGATGGAATGGGGTTTTAGCTCAGTAGAGTACTTGCTTGCCTAGCAGTTTATGAGGCCCTAGATCCAATCACCAGCATTGGAAAGCAAAACAAAAACAACACACCACAGGACCACAGGGATGCAATCATCAAAGTCCACATTGTAAAAAAACTCTGGGACAAATTATCTGACTTCCTAAAAAAGAAAGAAAGAAAGAAAGAGAGAGAGAGAGAGAGAGAGAGAGAGAGAGAGAGAGAGAGAGAGAGAAAACAAACACAGCAGAGTATGGTAAGAAGAAACAGAGGAAGGGCGGGGGAGGAAACTACAGACCAATATCAACTTAAATGATGCACCAAGCCCATTGTAATCATGTGAATCCTGACTCAAACTTTGAAACATGTGGAAAATACCTAAAGATTTGATCACCTTGTGGACAGTTTCTAAAATTAAAGAATTATTTTTGTTATTAATACTAGTGTATGGCAATGGTATTATGAGTATATTAAAAGAGATGTCCTTATAGTTAAGCTCTATATATTGAACATTTATAGATGAAGTAAGGTATCAGAATTTGCCTGAAACTCACTAGGGAGGTTGGAAAACAGATGTGGATGTGGGTGGGGCAGGATGAATCCCCAGCTGAAGGCTACCATAGTTGGGTTTAAGGATAAGGAGAGTCTATATACCACTCTCCGCTTAAAAAAAAAAAAAAACTTTTCCACATAAAAATTTCAAAAAAAAAATGTAGAATCTAATTATTATTGGGTCTAGTAAACATACTATCCACATTTTAAAATCTTGATACTTGAGCTAACAAAGTACATTAACAGGCTAAACTCACAATATATGCTTCTAAATTTTTACAGAAATTAAAGTCACATGGCTATGAAGACAGAAGACAAAAGCAACTGACAGAGATGAGAGGGTGAGGAGAAGGCAGAGCTCATCTTTCTTTGGCCAGGGATCTTCATGAGTCAGTAGTCCCTGCACTCCTCCTCCTCACACCTATCTTCCTCTGAGTTTTGATAAATTTGTCAGACACTGATTCTATGCAAGGCACTGAGCTAGTGGTGGCCTGATGGAGAAACAAAACTGAGAGCAACAGAGTACCAGTCCTTAGACGCTTACAACTGACCCCCTGATGCTCTCTGGTCTGGAACTAGTCCCTTCCTTCTCCCATTGACATATCCTATTCTGCATATTAAACTATAAAATACTCTACTTCAAAATTACACACTAACCCCCAAATATGGCAGTTGGCATATTAAATATTCCTAGATAAAGGAATGCAAGGACATAAGAGCAGAAGGTCACCCTGCTTGTCCTACTAACTCCCTCAGCAGGTTCAAAAACTTAAAAAGTTTCTGACCTTGCACTGAAACAGATCAAAGACCCTTAATGAGAAGAGTCTTCACAAAAGGGGTATGTGGCATCCCTAAGTGAAAGCAGGGGGATGAGGAGGAGGATCTGCACAAAGCAAGCATACTGATTCCCTAGTCCGTGATCATTTGTCAGATCTTTTTACCCTATCACTTCTCTCCACAGCTGTCTGTTCTTCATCAAACCGATAATGTCACGTGAAACCTACATCAAATAATGTGAATTGGAGCTGGGAGGTGGTGGCACAAGCCTTTTATCCCTGCCCTTGGGAGGCAGAGGCAGGATCTCTAAGAGTTTGAGGCCAGCCTGGTCTACAGAGCGAGTTCCAAGACAGCTACACAATGCTACACAGAGAAACTCTATGTCAAAAAACAAAACAATAACAAATGTGAATGCTTGTTAATCAGTCTTTTGTCATAGAGACCTCAGTCAGAAACCCAAACATGGAAAGAAAAAAAGTTACCCTCCCTTATACTTCTTAAATCCCAAAAGCAACTACCTAAATCTTCCCCATTTTGACTTGCCTTACTCAATTTTTAAAAGACAATTAAAAAAAAAAAGGTTAAATGAATAAAAGCTTTTATTTAACCCTATCAGTAAGCAGTAGGTTAGGTCTGCCTGGGATCAGCTTCTGGTGTAAACTCTGACTTCAACTCTCCTTCCTCAACTGCACCTGCATTCCTGAATGCTTCAAATGCCACTAGCCTGTGCTAAGCACAGTAAGCACACACATTTAGGTTCCTTCAGTAAAGGGTCTTATGTCATGACTATAGTTAAGGTACATCCAGCTGTGACTGGATATCTATAAACATCCAGTAAATGGGATGAATAGAGATGATTCTCTGCTCTGCACAATGGAGAGAAGCAGATTTCGTCAATTCTAGAACATGATCATACCTGCATGGTCCTTCTCTTCGTGAGTGTTACTTGAAAATTTTTCCACTCCCAGCGCTGCTCTACCACGTGTGCAAAAACAACATGTCCGTTTCCACAGGCTCCAGCGATCTGAGTGCCATCGATGGACCACGCAATATTAAATATGCTGCCAGTGTTGGGTTTTTCTAAAGCATATGACCACTAAGTGAAAAAAGAAGAAGAAAAATTTATTACCAAAAACGCCCACAAAAAATTGACAACTTTTAAATTGGGCACACATTACATATTAAGATACTAAGATGATTTTTGAAGGAATGTATTTTGGGGGCATTCATAGTTTTATTTCTTAGAACTTAAATATTTTGTAAGGTCTGAGGACTAGGGTTTGGACACCTGGAATCCAATAGCACCCCCTACTGATAAACGCTAGCTACAATGCCAGTTAAGCCAAAAGTACCTTGCATCTTCAGATCTTTTTTCCTTGAATCCTGTTCTGTTTAGTAACTAGTGTAATTCATTAACATATTCTGAATATTTACTTAAAATGCCTATGTTAATTTGAATCATTTTTTTAGACATCAAAGATAAAAATAAAGGTTATTATAGAATCTAGAAAAAAATGGCACCATGAGTCTAAATTTTATTCTAAAGGTAATTTACTTAGACCATGATTTATTTTACTGATCATCCAGTAATATTCATATTCCTTACATCCTTATTTTTTGTATTTCTTGATCATTTCACTTAAAATTATGCTATCTCAGGCTGGAGAAATTTCTCAATGGTTAAAAATGCTTGCTGCAGCCAGGTGGCGATGGCAAACCCTGGAGATGGTGGCGCCTGCCCTTAATCCCAGCACTTAAGAGGCAGAGGCAAGCGATCTTTGTGAGTTTGAGGCCAGCCTGGTCTACAGAGCAAGTTCCAGGACAGCCAGAGCTATTACACAGAGAAACCCTGTCTCTAAAAACAAAAGAAAACAAAACAAACAAAAAAGTAAAAAGCCACTTGCTGTGTGTGACTCTAGTTCAATTCTGAGCCATACTGGGTGGCTCAGAAACCGCCTGTAACTGTTGTGCTTCAGGAGATCAAAAACCTCTTCTGGCCTCTGCAGGCACCCATACACATACACAGACACATACATACACATAAATGAAAAAAGTGTTAAAATAATGTTCTTTCCCAGGTTAATTTTAAATTCTTTTGCTATATTTATTTGTGTGTGTGCATCCACATGGTACACATGTGGAGATGAGAGGGCAATGCAGTTGGTTCTGTCCTCCTGCCACGTGTGTCTCAGGGATCAGAGTCAGGCTGTCAGCAGGGACAGAAGGACCATTGCCTGCTATGCCATCTCAGGGTACATTTTACACTTTCTTGAATGCATAACCGCTGTGTCCAGGTGTCACATTACACTTGAAAAGGGTTATTCTGATCAATGTTTCTATCCAAGTGCTACAAGGAAGTCCATTTTCACATTTCCTGGTAAGTGAAAATTTATTGCTTTGTAGATTTTAGATGTATGACACTTGTTACTGAAAAGATAGTATTTTGGAGTTCTGAGAGTATTTATATTTCTTTAAGATCTTTCTCATATTTTTAACTATAAAATTCAATTAGGTTCTTTTAAAATAATTTCATTGGTGGTGCATACCTTTAATCCTAGAAGTTGGGGGTCAGAGGTAGGCAGATTTCTCTGAGTTTGAGTCCTGGTCTTGTCTGATTTATCCATACTTCTTTGTTTTGAGCACATAGTCTTTGCCTAGCAGGTTCAATGCTGGATGTTCACTTCCTCTTTCCCCCTATGAACGGGCCATTGTGTTCTGCTTTTCAGTATGCCTTATATCTTTTTTTTTTTAACTAGATATTTAGAATACCACCATGTGGGTAACTCTGACAGACTCCTTTCTCAGTGTGTTTAGTTGCCTGATGGGAGTAGCAGTCATCTGTCCATTTAGTGACTTTTCCAGACTGTTTTTCCATAGACTATTCCTCTCCAGTATAGTAACGAAGTCTTTATTCTCTTACTCAGTAGTTACCCAACAACCTCATACAGCCAAACAGCAAGAGAAAGAACTACTCACCAACCCTTGGCCAGTTGACTATGCCTCAGACACTCCTATAGCACCTAGTCCCGCCACCAGCTTTGTCCCTCTCCTTCTGTTCATGTGTGACCCATGAGCCACCAGGGACAGATGCTGAATGTCTTTCCCAATCTTCTCATGTCTTATATGTTGTACAATGGATTTCTCAGTGAAAGTGAGAGCCTTATTATTTATCTATCCTCTTCTCTCCTCCTTCCTAGGTTTTTCTTGGGGGGGGGGGTCTGTCTACTACCTGCTTCATCTGCTACCCCTAACCTTAACTGGTTATAGGTAGCCATTTGAGGAAAGAAGAAAGGAAAGAAGGAGGGAGGGAGGAAAGGAAGGGGGCAAAGGAAGGGAAGGCAGGCTTTTCATATCTCTCCTAATAATTAAGCATTGTCTTTCTTTCCCATTTTCAATGAGCTTAATGAGGGCAAAGCATTTTAGGAAAACAGAATAACTGTCAATCATTTTACTACTAGAATAATACTTGGTAGAATAATACTATGATAAATGTGAGATATGTTATACAAACATCATTGTATACTTTGTGTACTTACACAGTATCTCATTGAAGTAAATTCCTATAGGTAGAATTACTGGGCTGAGGAATATATAAGCTATTCTTCATGCTTATATATTCCTTATCTAGCATGCTAAACTCCCTACACCACAAAAGCTGGACATAAACCTATCCCAGCAGCCAGGAGGAGAGGAAAGACCAGGAGTTCAACATCATATTCAGCCATGTAGCAAGTTTGAGGTTTATTAAGAAAGATCTAAGAGGCATTGACCCACTGACAGAAAATTAGATTATGAAGAATTGGGAACTGGGAAAAGGGATTCTTGACACCAAGGTGTTAAGTCCATGGAGTAAAGTACTAGCAAGCAACCCATACAGGAAAATGACTGGGACCAACAGCCTAACCCTAAGAAATAACTTTCTGAAGTAAGATTTCACTTCAGCACACTACAAATAAGGCCCAAGAGAACCGATGTTTCCAGACTCACAGGCCCCAGTGGGGAGTGACATCTAACTGTCCCCTAAATTTGTATCTCTGGACTCATGGAATTATCTAGTGCAGCCCGAGACCTCAATAGAGAAATTTCTTCATGCACTGGATGGCAGCTAATGCAGAAACTCTCAGCTGGTTAAAGTACAGAGAGTGTCTATGAGTGCTCACCCACAAACAGGACATCTATTTCACCCCTCTCCTGCAGAGGCTCAGGGACCATTGTGGAAGATGGGACAGAAAGATTATGAGAACCAGAATGGGGAAGATTGGAGTGAAATCGTGTCTTCTGGACATTCTAGAACAACTCAGTACTGAGCAAAAAGCAGCTGTAGTTATCTATAGAAGGCCTGCACAGCTCAAACCATTCAGCACTCAAGCACACATGGAGGAGGGAGAGTCCGTTATCTTTGTGGGTGGGCCTCTGGGAGGTACCATGATCCAAAAGATAGACCCAAACCTCTGAGTATAGGACAGCACAAATTGGACTCAGTAGGCTACATAAAATTATTTCTTAAAGGGACTAGAGATATAGCTCAGCAGTGAAGAGCACTGGCAGATTTTCCAGAGGAGCTGAGTTCAGTTCCCAGCATCTACATGGCAGCTCACAACCATCTGTAACTCCAGTTCTGGGAGATCTGACATCCTCACACAGATTATCAATCAAGAAAACAACAATGCACATAAAATAAAAATAAACCATGAATTTTTATTTTAATTTCTTAAAAGAGAACACACAAATTTGGGAGAAAGTAAGAAGATGTGAGGTGACTCTACAAGGAGTTAGAGGTGAATACAATTAAAATATATTGTATGCATCAATTAAACTCTCAAATTAAAAAAATAAAATTAAATTAAAATATAGAGCCCAATAAGGCACCTTTTAGTAGTACATAAGTAATGCTGTGCAGGCTAAAATTTAGGTAACTTGATTACTGTAATGTTCAAACAGTATCTAATTAACACAAAATTAGAATAATTCATATCATATTAGGGGGTTGTGTTAAAGAAAGCATACAAGCAGTAATTAAGATAGTAAACTAGTCAGAAATGTAAATAACTATGTATGGCTCTTCTCAGATACATAGCAAAGAATCTACCTCCTCCTAGCTCAACTTGCTAGCCCATTCCTGGGATCAGAGCCTCATGCCCAGGCACTCTGACTCTCTTCCTCCTCTTCTCTAATCTCTCCTCCACACCGACCTTAGAGCACATGCTCTCCCGAAATGTCCACTCTTTTCAAGGTCATTATCTAAAAAAGCAGTAACCCACCATTGTCCCTAGAATAAAATCCATATTGCTGCTTCCCCTCAGCTAAGCCTTTACTTTTTCTTTATTTTTTTTTTTTTTCCCTTTTGGTTTTTTGAGACAAGGTTTCTCTATGCAGCCCTGGATGTCCTGGAACTTACTCTGTAGACCAGGCTGGCTTTGAACTTATAGAGATCTGCTTGCCTCTGCCTCCCAAGTGCTAGGACTAAAGGTGTGTACCACACCTTGGCAGCTTTTAATTTTTCTAGTTATCTTTAATCCTTTGCCTTGTGTTGACTTGCCTTTTTTCCCATATCACAGTCCCTTTGTTATCAAAGCAATACTCCCAACATTTGAGCTCTAGTGGGTTCCTACCCACCAGCCATGTACTTTCTGGACTAACAGACTATATTGCCTTTCCAGCTTCAGGGTTCCAGCTGTTCAACCATTCTTATACCTGATACCCTCACAGTAAAACCAGTCAACATGGAGCTTCCCCTGACAGCAGAGGGAAACACCTGAGCGCAATTCGTACCTTTCCCAAGTGCAGTTGAGGGATCCACAGAAAGGACTAGACCTTGAAGGACTAAATGGATTCTCTTCCATAGAGCTATTTGGTGAATGTCTCTTCTGTATCAACCCCTGATAATATCCTATGCAAGATCTACTGGCATTGCAAAACAAACTGCTACATTCTTTCACACTTGAAGACACAAGAGGCTCCTTTTGCCTGAACTCACTTCCTTTCACCTTGTCTCTTTGGAGAGTTACTTATTTACCAAGCCTCAGCTCTCCAATCAATGTCCTACAGGGAAAATTAGGCTCACACACATCATTAGAGTGCTTAACAAACTTTCTATATACCACTCAGTGACTGATCTGTGTAAGTCTTATGAGTCCCTACCAGACTGTTAGCAACTTGAATGAAAGTCTTTATATGTTTTAATATCTAAAGCCAAGTTTCACAAACATGGTCTTATGAATAGTATATTAATGACTATCAAATTAAAAAATATATACTGAAAATGTTAGTCTCAAATCTCTAAGACATAACATATTCAGTCAATTCAGTTTACTTTTCCTAAATTATTACTAGTCTAGAAAAGGATATGGTGCTTAAAGATGTGAATTTTGAACTCAGTTATTTGCATAAATCAATTTTTAAAATTGTAATCAAAATGACACATTAAAATGATTATGCACAAGCTGATTTATTAATTAATTACTGAGTATCTACTGTGCTGTATAGATAATCCTTAAGTAATAGGATCCTATGCACTGGAGAGTCAAAAAAAATACACATAAAACTAAAATAGATAATATAAAAGCATAATATCTTACAAAAAAATGAGTCTATATGTTCTCTAGGCACAATCACTGATGGACACCTGAGGTTAAAATCCTAGGTAAAACAAAACAAGGTTTTTTAAGTCATTAGATAATCTAACATCTTGATGTTACAGCTAAGAGGAGAAAAGATCAAAGTGAGAAGCAGAAAAACACACTTTAAACACCATTTTAAACCAACTTTAGGCTGTCTACACAAGACATGATCAAAAGAAGCCAATTGTGAGACACACCTTAAAAGAATGGGTACAATTCACTATGTAGAAGATGGAAAAGAGAATGGTCTATGAAAAGATAAAAATGAAGCCAGGCAGTGGTGGTGCATGCCTTTAATCCCAGCAGTCAAGAGGCAGAGGCAGGTAGGTGGATCTCTGTGAGTCCGAGGTCAGCCTGGTCTACAGTATGAGTTCCAGGACAGACTCCAAAGCTACACAGAAAAAATCCTGTCTTGGGGGTGGAGTGGGGGTTAGGGGGATAGAAGTCAGGCACAGCGGGTGCACAGCTGTAATCTCAGTGCTTGGGAAGAGGATAACATGTTTAATGACAATCTGATATGCATCGCAAGATCCCATCTCACAGAGAGAAAGACAGGAAATGGGAGGGAAGAATGGAGGGAGGGACAAAAGGAAAGGAAAAAGAACAAAAGGAATGAGGCTATGACTAGCAAGAATGGCTTAGGAGTCAGCATTCAACCGATTCACAGACACATATTAGGGAGCTGTGGGGAAAGTGACGGAATGATTTCACAGCACTAGATTTCAAAGCTGCTCCACCAGGCACAAGACTAAAACCATCACATATGATGGAGAACAAGTAACCAGAAAAGTTCACAGGCTATTTATAAAGTTCTAACATTCTAACGACCCAAATTTACACTCGAAGAAGGGAAGACATACAACAATTATGAGAGTCCCTCATAGCTAAGAACAGTACAGAATCATCCCACTGCTACAGTTCAGACCTTCACTGTCCCCAGATGTCCTTCTGTTAATGGCTTGAACAGTCTTCAGGATGGCACTTTTAGGAGGTGGTGGAAGCTGTAGAAGGAAGTCCTTAGGCACTTGGTGCATCCCTTGAGAGGGACTGTGGGACCCTGCCTGTGCGATTCCTTCCTCACTTCCCAGCTTGCTCTGCCACACTGTTGCCTGGTGTTGCTTCCTATACACCCAAAGGCACAGAAACAAATGGTAGTGGACTATAAACTCCAAGAGTCAGAATAAACCTTTTATTCTACCAGCTGACTTCCTCATCCACTCTGTTACGGTGACAGAAAACTAAAATAACAACTCAGATTCTGCCAGATATATAATGCTACTGCTTTTGGAGCACTTTAATGGAAACCTCCTGTTTCGAGAACAATGGGTAAATTTTCCCGACATTGGTATTTGCCAGAACAGAATTCTGTTCTAAACACAATACTCTTGCAAAGAAAAAAAAACCTCACATGTATCTAATCCTGAACATTTACGGGCTCCCTCCCTCTGTGTGTATATGTGTGCATGCACTTGTGTGTGTGTGTGTGTGTGTGTGTGTGTGTGTGTGTGTGTGTGTGTGTGTAGGTGTGCTGTATACACATGTGTATGTGAGTATGCATGCACTTATGTGTACAGTGTGTGGGGGACAGAAGTTGACATCAAGTTTCTTCCTCTATCTCTTCTACTCTATGTTTTGAGACAGCGTCTCATTGAACCTGGAGCTATTCAGCTAGACCAAACATGTAATGAGCTACAGGAACCCTTTTGTCTCCACCACCTCCAGAACTAGCAAAAATGTGCATATGCTTAGCTTTTATATGTATGTAAAGGATCCAAAGGCATATCAACCAGGCCACCTCCCCAGCTCCCTAGACACTCAGAAAGGAATATATATATCCTTTGGGGACTTTCAGAGATTTGTCTGTTTGCTTACTTTTGAAACAGGGCCTCACTGCTCCTGGCTAGCCTGGAATTTGCTGTATGAACCAGTTGGCCTCGAACTCAAGAGATCTACTGGCCTCTGCCTTCCAAGTACTAGAATTGAAGGCATGCACCATCATGCCTGGCACTAAAAGCAACTTTTAAATTTACCATTAATTCCTACAAAAAATATGCAACTACAAATTTTTATAAAGCTTGTTGGTACCAAAACTAAACTTAAAGCTGTACTCTCCACACAGAGTGGGCATAAAGTTGAACAGCTACACTGTTTACCACCCTTCAGTCATGCTCCAAACAAATATTTCCAAAATATAAACAGAGGATAATATGTCCACTCTTCAATTGTAAATCATTTAATCTCATAATCAGGAGTTGATTGAACCACCTTATTAAGATAAGTAAGCGGTCAAGTCAAATGCTTTCGTTGAAAACATTTCATAGAGAACGCTATGTGTGGTACATTTCCACATCTATGGCAGCACATCTGTGACTGCTCATCACTGCAACTTACCCCTGTTTTATCACATAAGCGTAAGGTATGAAACGATCCAACAGCAAACAACTCTCCATCCGGAGCCCAGGCAACTGAGGTAATAGGGTGTTCATGAGGCTGAGAACTGTACAGCACACGGCCATAACTATCCCAAACCTACAAAATCAAATTTTTAAATGTTTTATAATAACACCACCATATTACTCCAAAAACAGTTTGTCCTTTAATAAAATATCAAGTGAAGACTAAGAAATCATAATTGTAGAATTAGCAACTAGATACTTTACCATCATACAAGAAAGACAACGCAGTATTCCTGGAAATTTATATGCCTCAGAAAGAAAAATTTCACATGACTAATCCTGAACTAAACATGACATCTACCCATCTTGAGTACTTTAAATTTAGTAGTAAACTCTGGCGATGGTTGGCCTTTCCTAGAATTTCTTTTTTCCAAACAAGACTTCGATTGACTTTCTCTAATAATTAATTAAAGACCCTGCAACTACAGATACACTAAATTTTACTGTTGGAGCTAAGGATACACCTCAATAGGGGTACTTTTTACCTAGTATATTAATGGTCTCAGTACTGCAGAAAGGGGGGAACATCTTAGCACCCGCAAATTATTATAGTCTGAAATGGACCAATATTTAGGAAGCTAGTAGGATTAATTTTTTAAAATGTTAAGTGAATAAAGAAATGAAACACAAGAAAGGGAGCTGAATTCATGTTGCTGCTTATTAAGTAAAATTTTTATTATGAGAACTTAAATAGCACTTAAAGTTGGAAACCAATTTGCTCAATTATCACAGATAAAATTCTAAAAGATTAGTCTTATATGCTAAATACTTTCCCCCTAAATTATATTCTTTTAAGCCAATAGTAAGTCTAAACATTATATATTATCATAGTCAGTTTTATTTATTAACTTGACATATATAGAATTATGTGAGAAGAGAATCTTGATAAGGGACCATCTAGCAGGTTGGGCTGGGGATATCTGGCGGGGGAGTTCTGTCTTGATTACATCAAATGAAGTGGGAAGGCCCTCCCATTGTGGGCAGCATGACTCCCTGGGTTTGTGTCTTGGACTTGGACTCTAAGAGTTGAAAAATCAACTGCATACAAGCATACATGCATTCATCCTCTCTCTGCTCTTCACCGTTGGTGTGACTATCTGCTTAAGTCCTGCCCTGACTTCCCTGCAATGATGGCACCTACAACTGGAAGTCAAACAAACCCTTTCTCTTTTAAAGCTGCTTTTGTCAGGGTGTTTTATCACAGTAACAGGAAATGAAGCTAAGACACATACCTTATACTTACAGTCTTCACCAGCAGATAAAATGAGATCGTTGACTGAGTTCCAATCGACTTTTAAAATAATGCCTTCATGGGCTTTCCACTATGAAGAGGGGAAAAGATATTATGGACAACTTTAGAAATGAATTTTTTCTATTTAAAAAAAAAACTGTTTTCTGTTTCCTTATTTTTTTTCTTAAGAGCTGAGGTTCTTACTGTTGCTCGACTTGACCTAAACTACTGGACTCAAGTGATACCTCTGCTACACCCTGCTAAGTAGCTAGGGTGACTGTAGACCACTATCATGCTCAGCTTGTCACCCTTTTCTAGTGCATTTCTTTTTTCTTCTTCTTTTTTCTTATCAACGTTTCATGGATTCCCATCTCCTTCAATAGCCACTGTGTGATCCCTTATTTGCTTGCTTCATTCCAATTTACATCTAGCACCATGACATCCACTATATAACTTACACCCTATGAAATTGCTCAGTTGCCTGGACTCCAGTTGGAAAACTGCTTGCTAAATTGTTAAGCTTGACTTTAACATAATGAACTGGAATAAATGTGATATAATCTAAGATATCAGCTGACTTCAATTCTCCTTTGCAGGTCCTCTCAGTGATACTGTCTTCGTGCTTACTTACAAAATTCTCTTTCCTCTTTTTCCCCTCTTTTTACACACACACACCACAGAAACTGATAATCTAGAAACTAAGCATGGATGTATTGCTGTTAAATGTGATTCATGCTCCCATTTGCTATTACCATTCATGTAATCAGGCATCTTTTTAATTTAAGATCCACTTGAACAACAAGCTCCTTGTGGCAGGAAACATGCTCTATTTCTCTTTCTTACAAAATAAACTGAGGACAGTTTTTGTTTGCTTGCTTGTGTGATGCTATGATCAAACCCAGGACCTCACACATGCTGACTTGCTTTGGAATACATCCCCAAGGGTTGCTCTATTCTATTTAATAACCAATACTCACCATACTCTCATACAGCTGGCATGTAGTATATTTATCCTGAACAAATACATATGCTTTCTCATATAAAACTGGATTCTAAATGTGTGTGATGCCTTAAAGGAAACTAGCCTTACAGTTCTAAACTTCATTCTTTTTCATGGACCATCCACACTTGCATGTGCTTATACTCCTGGAGAATTGCTACAAGTTTAGATTCCCAAAAGGAATGGATAATTTGTATTACATTTCTAATTATACTCTAACTCCTCTCTTGCTCCAGTGAATTGTGATAATGAGTATATTTTCTCTCTTCTATTCTCACTTACACAGAAGCAGTAAAGTACATTTTATGATGATGCACAAAACTTCCAAGTTTTGTTTATATAAACCTAATTACAGATGTCTTAATGCACATGAATGTAAACCAAAGGTATAAATGGAAAGATCCATGTTCCTGTCTTTGCTATCTAATTTCATTGCAGATTTATTGGTTATGTTTTTGTCAGCTTAATATAAGCTAGAAGAGAAGAGGGAGCCTCCATTGAGAAAATGCCTTTGTAAGAGTAGCCTGTAGGCTATTTTCTTGATTAACAATTGATATAAATAATAGACAGATGATGGACAGACAGGTAGATAAACATATATGGTCTACATAGAAATTATAATACAGAACATCAGAATCTCCTTGGTGTCTTTACTGCTTGAAATCTACATTTACCCAGCTTCTGAAATTGATGCTTCTTTTATTTTTAATTTTTGTGTTCAATTGCCCACATGTATGTATGTGGACTACATGTGTGCAACACCCACAGAAGCCAGTGGAAGGCATCAAATTCACAAGAACTGAAGTCATAGACAGATGCTACTGGCCATGTGGGTGCTGGGAACAGAACCAGGATCCTTTGCAAAAGCAGTTAAGTGTGCTTAGCTGCCCAGCCATCTTTCCAGTCCTCAAACTTATGCTTCTTAAAACACTCTTATACCTGACGCAGCTGTCAATCTCCATCACCAAGTTCCCTATGTCTTTTTAAAAATAACTTTTTTATTTGTTTTATTATTTTATACATGTTTTCCTGTGTATTATCTCTGAATACCACATGCGTGGTGCCTGTGGGGGGCCAGGAGAGGGCTGGAAATACAAACAGTTGTGAGTTATGTGGGTGCTGGAAATCTAACCTGTGTCCTCTAGAAGAACAGGCAGTGTTCTTATGGCTGAACAATTATTGTTCCAGCACCCCTTACATCTTTCTTTCTTTCTTCCTTTCTTTCTTTCTTTTTTTTTTTTTTTTTTTTTTCCTGAACTCTCTAGGGGAAGAAGGCATACTAATGCATAATAACATAACAGCATCAGCAACAGCTACTCAATATCAAGTGCTTAGGTCATACCAGACATGAATCCTCACAAACAATCACAGTAAGTAGGTATTACTGTCAGAGACAAGAAGATAAGATGCAAAGAGATGCAAAACTTTCTGTCATCACATAGAGGTAAGTGAAGGCCTGACCAGGTGCCTCACTCCAAAGCTGTGGAAGTTTAAACAAGAGCAGTTGAACTTGGCACATGGTTCTGGCTTTAGAGCCCTGAAGGATGTGTGAGAAAAGGAGTTGTGGAATCTTCTACAGTTAAAGAAAGGTGCTGAGCCCAGGTATGTGGCAGGACCTGTACAGGGGCTCTGGGGGCCACTGCATGAAGCTATGAAAGTAAACCCTGGGCCACACTGGAAACCCCAGGACTTGCCAAGGATTGCTGCAGACAAGAGTGGAACCAGCCGGAGAGACAGAGAAATGTGCTGCAGTTAGCCATTTAAGTCCTTTGATAACAGACATGGGGCTATAGGATTTGGAGTTTGCCCTGCTGGATTTCACTTTTGTGTTTTGGTTCATTTAGTATATTCTCACTATGGCCTTATTTGTTTCTTTTGGAAAGGTAATGTATATTCTGTCACTGTATGTTGGAAGTATATCATCTGTTTTTTGATTTTACAAGGATTATAATTAAAAGGTTGCCTTCAGTTTTAGAAGAGACTTTGTATTTTGGATTTTTATAATGTGTTGAGACTGTGAAAGACTATGGTGACTTTTAAACCCTTTTTCTATGATGCTGGAACAAAGTTCAAGAATGGAGTCATTGGGTGCTGGAGAGATGCCTCAGCAGTTAAGAGCACTGGCTGTTTTTCTAGAGGACCAGGGTTCAATACCCAGCACCCACATGGAAGCTAACGACTGTCTGTAACTCCAGTTATAGGGGATCCAGCACCCTCACACAAACATACATGCAGGCAAAACCCAATGCACATAAAAAAAAAAAATAAAAGAATGGAGTCATGTGAGACTTCTGAGTGCTTGTGAGAAAACTCCAAGGAAACAAGACAAGAGTTTTGTGACCTCAGTTTCTTCAAAATACAGAATTGTTCTTGGAATAGGTTTTCATACTCCTCCTAGCCGTAGAGGACAGGAACACATTTACTTCAGCTGTTATTTTGCCAAATGTGGCTTGTCCTTCTGATTATATACTTTATTCAGGTGACTTTTTTTTTTTTTTGAGACAGGGTTTCTCTGTAGGGTTTGTAGACCAGGCTGGCCTCAAACTCACAGAGATCCGCCTGCCTCTGCCTCCCAAGTGCTGGGAATAAAAGCATGTGCCACCACTGCCCAGCCCAGGTGACTCTTCTTAACCCTCAGAGTATAAACTGTTTGATGCTCTGAATAAAGTTGGTTATTGCATGAGTCCACCTCATTTTTAGGCCCCTGCTCTCAAGGTTCAAGCACCAACTAGAGCAGTAAATACTATAAATTGCCTTATTAACAGAAAAGTAAGACAAAATCCAAACAACACTGTTTATCAAAATGTAAGGGAAATCATTCTGTCTACTGTGTCTTTTATTTGGCCCTGCCTAACCTGTCTTAATAGCCATTGTTGTTTTGTTCACTTTCGAGTGATTCTGTTTACCTCTTTCCCTCAAATTTTTGAAAAACCAGTTTGTTTGTTTTTGTTTTTTTTTTTTTTTTCCCCTACTCCCTGAGTTTAGGGACCACCTCCTCGCTTATTCTTTAAGATTTAGCTCCTAAAAACTATTCCTCATTTCCAAATAGCACACAAGCAAACGTCAGTTCAACATCTATCCTTATGCCAAATGCTCTCTGTATTATTCATAAAGTTATATACACATAATTGGTCCTAAGTCTTATATTGACTCCTCCATTCTAAAAATACTAAAAGAATGCTAGGCCTTTGACAGAGCACAAGTGTTAGAACTAATGATAATGATGACTAAAAACAAAATCTAAGCACTCTTAAGAGTTTCACTTAGTGTTGTTTCATCTCAGACCTACACACTGGAGGCTGACTCTGTAAACTGAAGGATGCTCGTTTGTGCTGAATCACATGACAACTTAGTCACTCCAAACACCTGCAGGACTGACTATAACAATGACAGCTGAAATAACAGAGAAGTAAGCCTTTTGGGAAACATGAACAAAAATGCCCTTAAAGTCTGATAAAATTGTAAACTCAAAGCTCTGAGACTGGCAGGTGACTAACCAGAAGGAAGGGACTGCAAGGACCACCCAGCTTCACAATGACATACAGCCAGACAGCAACTTACAAATGCCTGAGATGTACCTGTAAAACTTTAGCATTTGGTTGAAGAGGTTTAATGATGAGCTGTTTGCCTGCTGTATAAAGAACCTTTTCTGAATCAGGGCCCCATGCTACTGAATACACTGGGATTCCTGTAAAAAAGAAAGGGGAGATGATAAATGCACATTTTCATGGCTTTAAAAAAATACAGTAATGTTAAGAGAATCAAAATATTGGTATGGTGGCACAAGAATACTAGGGAGGCAGAGGCAGGGTAACCCTAATTCAAGGCCAGAGAGCTACACTGAATGACCCCATCTCAATCAAATCAAAATGAATAACCTCAGTGTTATTTTCATTTCCTCCTTAGGTGTCCTTTCATACTGGACAACAGTCTGACACTGAAACACAAATGGATCTTAATAATACCTCAAAATAAAAATATTAAAGACTGTGAATCACTGACATGCTAATATTTTGTATTTGTATGTTTTAATTTTGTTTTTTGTTTGGTTGGTTTTTTTTTTGTTATTATTAGTTTTGGGTTTTGGTGTTTGTTTGGTTGATTGTTATTTGAGAAATGATCCTACTGTGTAGCCCAGGCCAGCCTCACAAACATCCTACCTTACTTTTTTTTTGTTTTGTTTTTTATTTATTATTTATTTTATATAACCATTACTTTTGCACTAGGATTACAAGTGTGCCCTACCTCAACAATGACACAACATCTTTCAACCAATTTGGATCTTGCTGAGAAAACACAACATTTTTCAGACATTCTAGATATTATGCTATGAAAATCTAGGATAAAGGTTTACTAAAATTCATGGTTTTTTTATCCTCCCCCCATGGATAGCCAACGAAGCTGAAACTGCCTCAATGTATAAAATAAATGTATAATTTATATACAATATTACATATAAACAATATATATATAAATATATGTTCTATATGAATATATATATGTAAACACACACACACACAAACACGTTTAGGGTTTCTTCACATAGTCCTGACTTTTCTTGACTCCCTATGTAGGCCAGGCTAGCCTTGAACTCACAGATCCACCTGCCTCTGTCCCCCAGAATGCTGGATTAAAATCATGCACACCACACTAGGCTGGTATATTGTTACATAAAATATACACTGGGTGACTGTTGCTATCATTCTCCACTGTGTTTTCTGAGACTCACTGAACCTAGAGCTCAACAATTAGGCTAGACTGGCTAGCCAGCAAGTCCCATGGACCCTCCTGGGCAGAGGCCTCCACAGTGATGGGATTGCAGGTGTGATCTCTATGTGGGTGCTAGGAATAAGAATTCAGGTCTTTCAGTGGAGCCAGAATGTACCCCTGGTGCACAAAAGGACCTTGCGAACACACCCCCCATGGAGGGATAACTGCCTTAATCTAGAGACAGGAGAGAAGCCCTAGTCCCTACTTCTCATGACCTGTCAGATCTACATGACCCCAACTGGATGGCATTCCTCTGCATATGGAATTGGGGTGAGGGGGATGGGAGGGGAGTGTGGTTAGGGTGCATGTGAGAGGGCAGAGAGGATAAAAGGGAGGAAGGGAGGGAGAACTGGGATCGACATGTAAAATATAAAAAAAAAAAAAAAAAACTCTGGGAAGAAATTCAAAAAAGAATTCAGGTCTTTCCTTGTATGACAAGCACTTTACCAAATGGTCCATCTCCCTGTCCTCAAGCCTGTGATTTCTTACATTTCAGATTCTCAGAGGAGGAAGGTTTTGCTGTTCATTACATGGTGCCTATAACAGGATGACAATGATACCGAAACAGGGCAGTACAAGTTTACTTACTGTTGTGGTTTGAATGTGCAATGCTCGCCATTGCAGGCTGGGCCTCAGCTGATAGCACTATTTGAGAAGATTCTGGAAACTTGAGGAGGTAGTACCAAGCTAAAGGAAGTATAACACTGAGGCCTTGAGCCCCACCCTTGTCTCTGGCTACGTCCTTGCTGCCATAATGCAAGCTGCTCTGCTTCTCCATGGCATAGAGGTCGTCATGGCTCAAACCTCTGAAGCTGTGAGAACAGTGAAAGCCTTCCTCCTTTGTTCATGACAATGTCTGTCACAGCAAGAGAGTCTGACAAATATATCTATCATAAGCCACATTAATTTGATACGGATTTTGGTTTCTGACAAAGATTTACATAGTACTCTTTTAACTCAGTTATATTTAAGGACACTATTTCATTTCCTGCCATCCTTCCTTTAACAACAAAAAGATTTGCTTATTTTTATTTTATGTGTTTAAGTGTTTTGCCTGAATCTACTATGTCTGTGAACCATGGCTGGTACCCATGCAGGCCAGAAGAGGGTGTCAGGTTTCCTGGAATTGGAGTTACAGACCACTGTGAGCCACCATGTGGGTGCTGAGGTTAGAAACTGGGTCCTCTGGAAGAGCAGCCAGTGCTCTTCACCACTGAGCCATCTCTCCACTTTTTTCTTGACACAGGATCTTGACATTTAGCCAGGCTAGTCTCAGTCTCCTGATCCTGCTGCATTTGTACCCCAAGAGCTAAGATCAGAGGTAAACATGCACCACCATGCTTAGCAATGACAGTATTCTTAACTTGGTTACTCCCTTGGCTACCTAATATCTTCTCAAAATCTATGTTTTATGTGACCTTCATTTTAAAAAAAACTAAATATAATAGCCAAGTAAGTGGTACATGCCTATAATCTCTGCATTCAGAAGGCTGAGACAGGAAGATTACAAACAGAAGGTTATGCTGGACTACATGATGAGTGATAGGGCAGTCTAGGTTAGAAAGCAGTATTTTATCTCACACACATACACACACACACACACACACACACACACACACACACACACATATATAATCTCCAATGTTTTCAATAGGATATATATAGTAATATATAACCTGTAATGTCCTTGCCTTGGCTGAACTGTCTATTCATTAGAAAAATGAATCAAGGTTATATAATTAATCCATGAACCATTAGCCATTTATAATTATAAAATCAAGCCTTTAAAAAGTGTCTAGCATCAGACTGTTACAGAAATTGGCTTCTATGAAGAAATAAATGAACAAATATTCAAGAGATTAACATTCCCAGGAAAATAAAATCTGAATTTGATGATTCATGGTCAATCAATAAGATTTTTGTTTGTTTGTTTGTTTTTGTGTTTTGAGACAGCATTTCTTTATAGCCCTGGCTATAAAGCTTTATAGCTCTGGCTATCATGGAACTTGCTTTATATACCAGGCTAGCCTTGAACTCAGAGAGATCCACCCTCTAGTACTGGAATTAAAGACATGTGTCAAAACCACTCAGCATGATTTAATTACTTATTTAGAGACACCCCACCCCTACAAGAGCTATAAGGCAGCCAATGGTTGCTGAGAGGAAAAATATATTTTCTGCAGGGACAAGACCTCAGGTAAGTTATACAAGCTCAAGTGCTCAGCCCTAAATACATGTGCATACTGGCAATACTAAATGAATTCAGTAGGTCGCATACACACACAACAACAGTAGGCTTTATACACACAGAACAACAACAGTGTCAGGCATGATGGTGATACATTCCTTTATTCCTAGCACTCTGACAGATCTCTGTGAGTTCAAGGCCAGCTTGATCTACATATCTAGCCAATGAGACCCTGTTTCAAACAAAACAAAACTTAACAACAATTAAGGAACAGGTTATGACTTTAAGGTAGTGGGGACATGGGAGGAGTTGGAAAGGGTAGAAGGAGCAGAGTAGAAATGATGTAAATACAGTGTACTCACGTATAAAATTCTCAATTTTTTAAATTAAAAAAATAAATGTAGTTAGGATTATAGTAAACTAGTATGTGCTTTCTAATTTCCATATTATAGTTATATTTTTGTGCAAAAGGGAAATTAATATATTTTAATTTACAACTTATCAAATATTCACAACAGACAGTAAAAGTACACTTTGCTGAGTTATAAACTAACCAATGATAAACACCTGCCCCAAGGAAACAACTCTGTAAGTACTGCTCCCATTGAGTTACACAGGATGTGACTTTAGGCCCTCAGTTGTGGTCAAAGGCACAGCTGGGGTGTAGGATGAGGAGCCTGGGATGTTTTCACCCCCTTCACTTTAACATTTGAATTGAGGCCCTCTTCAGCTGGCTGGGTCACCATTTCCTGGTTTCCAAACCTCCCTTCAGAATACTTATCTACCATGTTAGGATAAGGAGACAATTTATTTCCTGCCTATACAGGTTTTAAAGTATTAATAATGATTCAGAAACATTTATGATTGAGAGTATAAAACGAAGTAAGCTTAGAAAGTGAAACAAGTAGTTCCTTTGTTACAAGTGTTTAAACCACATTCCTTCAATCAGGAAGTTTCTATCTGGGCATTTTGGATGAAGAGCATTTATTCAGGTAGATGAACAGCTTCACAAAGAAAAATGGTTTCATTTATGACGAATCCCTCCTACTGGCATTTGAGACAAATTCATAATATTTAAACTGCTGTTTAAAAAAATATGTATTAAAGCAAGAATTAGGCACGGCAGTGCATGTGTGTGATCCCAGCACTTCAGACTGTGGCTGTGGCAAGAGGACTACTCCAAGTTCAAGGCCAGCCTGAGCTAGATGTACAGCAAGTCCAGGCCAATCAGGACTCTCTCTACATCAAGAAAAAACAAACAAACTAATAAAGCACTAACCATCCCTAGTGCTGTACATTTTGCAAAGTAGAAAAATAACACTTCTAGGCTCCAGATTGAATAATTTTAAAATACAAATTTAGCAAATTATATAACAGGATGTTAAGTTTATCACTAACAAAAATAGACACACATAATCACTTTATAATCACTTCTGGCTTTTTTGGAAATTTTTATTTATGTCCCATTTTAGTTAAAACATTCAAGAAGATCTTGTTTTTCTGACTTGGTACACTAAAGTCATGTGATCTTTTTGACATTTTTTAAGAAACCACATGCACCTGGGGTTGTGTTAAATGTCAGACCCTTATCTCTCTGTAAAACAAATAATCTAAATTCTTTCAACCTGTTGAAAGCATTTTAAACCACAGAGGAGTCAAGAAAAGTGTATTTCAATTGTTTTAAGGAAGTACCTGGTCAAATGCACTGTGTTTTTCACATTCATATCATA